GTAGGTGACACATGTGCTCGGCCATGTGGGTGCACGCAGCACATTGGCTCGGGCAGCATATGCATGCCCTTCCTTTGTTCAAGGTGGCTTTTATAGGGTTTCTCCAACCTGCCCCCACGTAGGGCTTCTACTAGATAAGAGTGCACTGCTAGGGTTGTTGCTAAGAGGGTAGAATTGGGTGCGGCCTTTGAAACTCCATTTCTTGACCTTTAGTCCTGCTGGATCTTCTCTTGGAGGGGGGTCCAGCCTTCTCTGGTCTGGGCTAGCTGAGGGTTAACTGGATTAAAGGAAGGAATTGGGGGTTCTCCCGTAATTTCCTTCAGACTCTTTCTCTAGGGAGGGCTCCAGTCTCCTCAGAATCTGTTGCTGGAAAAGGTCTTACCAGGTCTTGCTTTCAGTATCTACAAGGTGGGTTAGACTTAGGACTGGTGGCCTTATTCCAGATATTTTATTGCCATCATGTGGAGGTAGGGCCTTCCCTAACCTACCTGCCTGCATCAAAAATATCAGTCTGAGGACCAGAGAAGGCTGGCTTGGGGCTGTTTTGAGAGCCAGCTGGCCATTTGTCTACTCTGTGCTGCTTGGAGGACTTGGTGAATCACATTCCTGAGTTGAAGTGGGATTCTCCCATAGGAGTGGGCGCCATGGGAACTGTCTGCAGACCCTAACCACGACAGCTGCAAACACCCACAGCGTTTCCATCACGTTTTTTTTTTTTTCACAATGGCTGTCCTGGGTCAAAAGTTAGTTCCCTGCATCTGTGCATGGGACAGCTGTGATCACAGATATGAAGTACCCCTTGTTTGACTCAGGAAAGGCAAAGTGCTTGGTATGTGAACAACTGAGGGTCCAAAGACCGGGGGAAACTAAACATTCATTATCGGGTTTTTTTCTTGGGTACTGAAATAAAAGTAGACATATATTTTAGGAGTCAGAGCACACAGACCTGGTTCCATTTCTAGCCCTGCAGGCTCCAGCACCACTGGGTGGTCCTGGAAGCCTCCTAGCACTATCAGGTACAGCCTTGGAGGGCCCCCGCGGGCCCCCACCCCCAGCACATCTCAGGAGCCCAAGGAGCAATACATCCTGAGTCCTAGCATTGAACTAACTTGCTGGGAGCTGCTCTTAAGCACTGCCTAGAAGCGCCCCCACCCCCCACCAAAAAAAAGTACAAATGTAATGACATAGTTACATAGTAAAATTGTTATCAAAAGTCAAGTTAAAACTTCTTTTTTGATTATTTTTTGAGGGGCCACACCTGGCAATGCTCAGGGGTTACTCCTGACTCTGCACTCAGGAATCACTCATGGGGGTGCTCTGGGGACCATATAGAATGCTGGGGATAGAACCGTGGTAGGCCTCAAGCAAGGCAAACACCCTACCCACTGTAATATCTCTTTAGTCCCTTAAAATTACTCTTATCAAACAAAATAAGAGGCTAGGTCTCACTAGAGCTGTTGCGAAAGTGAAATGTCAGGTCTAGAAATAAAGTTCTAGGTGGGGTCAGAGATAGTACAGTGGGTGGGGTGCTTGTTTTGCACACAGCCAAAAAACGGGTTCAATATCCGGCACCCCATATGGTCCCCAAGCACTACCAGGAATAATTCCTGAGTGTGGAGCCAGAAGTAACTTCTGAGCGTTACTGAGTTGTCACCCAAAAAAGAAAAAAAAAGAGGAGAAAAAAAATAAAAGAAAAATGGCCTAGGAATACATGTGGCTAAACCTAGTTAAGCACTCACTAATCCATTCAATGCACATTTAGTACCTAGCAAAGCCAAGTCATGTGCTAAGGCACTTGTTGAATTCCCTTTGCTCTAATAAAGCTCCCAGCCCAATTGGAAGGACGTGTATAAAGCAATGAGTGCCCACAAGGGATTTTACATTCAATTAGTGATTTGCCAATTGTCTTATTCCAAAGATTTGAGGAGAGAACTCTGCAGTTAAAAATCTCCCTTTGGAGAGGGTACAGTGCTGTCAGCAGCTCAACCTGCAGGGTGAGTGCATCAGCAGCCTGATGGTGTCTTCAGCCTTCCTGATACCCCCAAATTGCTGCTGGGCCTCTTACCAGACCCCAGCAACTCAGAAACAAGCTTCCTAAGAAAGTAAATGGCCAAAAGGTAAGTATGTGGGAGTCATGCCCACAAACCGCCTCTGGCTCAGTTATACAAACTCATTTGTTGGCCTTGCTTCAGAGACCCATAAACATTAAATCTTGAAGAGATCAAAAGCCACAGTTAATCTCTGACCTGCGCATGGCTAAACAGACCAGGGTAAATTGGACGGGGGGGGGGCATGTCAGCCTGGTGCCCACCCAAGCAGAGCCCCTGGGAACCGCTTGCTCCCACAATCCAAAATCACTGCCATACCCCTGACCTGACTCCACCATCTCAGGATGGACCTCACCAAGATTTAATCTGCTGAAAATTCGGGTATGCAAGTTTCATGACTGAAATCCCCAGCTTTTGTTGGAATATAGCTCTAAACATTTTAGGCTCAGCAGTGGTTTGCCTTTTCTCCCTGGCCGCAGGGAGCTTGGGTTTATTGGGTTACACCCATCACAATGCTCCGGAGACACTCGCATTCCTCTGTGTTTATTGGAATATAGCTTTAAACATTTTAGTTTTAATATTGGTATGTCCTTTCTCCCTTGCCACAGGGAGCTAGGTTTATTGGGTTACACCCATCACAGTACTCCCAAGGCACTCCCATTCCTCTGTGTTTATCTGTTACCTCTTCTCTGTGCTCTGCTTCCCCAACCTGTCAATCACCTTTATCCCCTAATCAGACTCTGTTGACTTTTAAGGTCAGATTCTTTTAAGGACTCTGGATTTGTATTTGTAAGTGAAATACTGTTTTTCTCCTCTCCTCATATCCTTAGAATAGTTACTTTAGAACAATGTCCTTTTTGTATAGACACAGGAAGACAGTTAATGCTATTCTTTCGTAACTTGGGCGTTAACTGACTCCAAATAATATTCAGTCCTGGGCATTTGATTTCTCAACTTAAGCCTCAGTTGATCTTAGTTCCTAGCACTTCAAAAGCAGGGTCCCAATGAGGGACTGGATGAACCCAGGGCAAGCTATGAGCTACTCAGGCATTGAAATGGGCCAAGCCAAACACCATAATACTTAACTATATGTTAAGAGTATGGTCATGAAAAAAGATATATTAAAAAAAATCATAGTCATGGACAAATTCTGTCATGATCCAAAGAGTAACAACTGGATTAGGACCCTGCTAGGGTAAGGAAAGACTAATCTGGCCTGAACACTGTAGTCTGAGATCACTAGTGAGATCCCCAGGAGAGCAATCCTATAAGCTTAATGTATCTCTTATGGTGTCCATACAAAATGACTAACATTATTAAGAAATAGACTTAAGATGAATGTTTAAATGATATTGGACTAAAGAAAGGAGAAATGCACCCCTAGATGGTATTTCGCCCTTATGCAGGTCATCTTGCTGGATGAGAATTTGTCCTAGAAAAAACTCCTCCTGAGGGAAGGACTTCACATCTGTTGATTGTACGACCACACCTATGTGTAACTGCTACCCAACCCCTCATGATTTGGGGATATAACTCAGACTATGGGTGTGGGCAGGGAGAGGAGAAGCGAGGAGAATCGGAAGAAGAATCGAGAAGAGATTGGAATAAATTGCAAATGATCATCAACCAGCCTGGCCCTCGTTTCCTCCTTCGTTCCCTTCCTCCTCCTTTCCTCCTTTTCAGGTACAAGTTTTCCTCAAAATCAGAGAGAGTCACATTCAAGAGGACCTTGTAGTAAGATCATGAAAATCTTCAAAGGCCAGAGAGATAGTAGGGGGGTTAGCTGTAGACTGACTTGGATTCGGTCTTCAGCATCACATAAGATCCTCCGAACCCCACCAAGAGTGATCCCTGAGCACTGCCAGGTGTGGCCCAAAGCCACTCCCACCAGCCTACACTCACACACACACACACACACACACACACACACACACACACACACACTTCAAACAAGGAGATATACGTTATTCAACCTGCAAATAATTAACTGAAAAGGAGTCATGACCTTTGCAGCATCTTGCCTGAGAATAATGATCACAAATACCGGAACATCCTCTACCCCTTTAGCGAAAGCGAGGAAGGAAACCGTGGGAGCAGCTTCCGGAAAAGTCAGCACAAATTTTGAAACGGGAAGAGCAGAGGGGGTCAGGCAGCAAGGCAGAGGGCAACCGGGGGGCGTTGGGGATTCAGCAGAGAGTTAAAATCTTGCCAGAGCATCGAAAGCAGGGAGGGGAGGATGTTTGCCTTGTGTGCAGCAGACCTGGGTTCTATCCCCAGCGTCGCCCCCCCTCCACTCCCAGCACTGCCAGGAGTGATTCCTGAGTGCAGAGCCAGGAGTAATTACCCCTGAGCATCTCGGAGTGTGGCCAAAGAAACTTCAAAACAAAAACATTTTGCCAGAAAACAGTGGAGCCACGCTCATCGGAAACCTGGTACTCGGGGCTGGAGGGACAGCACAGCGGGTAGGGCGTTTGCCTTGCACGCGGCTGACCCAGGTTCGATTCCCAGTAACCCATAGGGTCCCCCAATCACCGCCAGGAGTAATTCCTGAGTGCAGAACCAGGAGTAACCCCTGAGCATCCCCGGGTGTGACCCAAAAGAGCAAAAAAAGCAAGCAAGCAAGCAAGCTGACACTCAAAGGGTGCAGAGGCAGGCGCCCCCTCCGTGCACTCCCATCGCTCGCCCTCGCCAGACAGGTGGCCCCGAGCTGATTCTGGGGCGACTCGGGCCGCCAGGCTGCAGACGCCAGGCGGGAGGCTGCCCGGGCGCAGGTCCCTCCAGCCGCCCGCACGCCGCCCCGTCGCCTTGGCGACCGCCCGAGCCCCGCAGCCCCGCCCCTTCCTCGGGGCGTGGCCACGCCTCCGGGAACCCGGAAGCGCGAGGCGGGCCGACCGAGAGCTGCGGCCCCGGTGTCGGCCGCGCGCCCGCGCCTGCCGCGCCCCGCTCCCGAGCGTCCCCGCCGCCCCGCGCCCGCCCCGGTCGCCGCCGGCCCGCCCGCCCGCCCGCCGCCCCTCGCGCGGCCGAGTTCGAGACCGGAGCTTCCTCGGGAGGGGCGGAAGGTAGAGGACGCGGGGTCGGCCGCGGCAGGGGCGGGGCTGTGCGGGGCTGTGCGGGGCGACCGTGCGTGTGGACCCGAGCGGCCGGGCCATGTGACCGTGCACGTGACCGCGTGTCCCCGTGAGCGTGTGTCTCCCGAGTGGGGTCGAGTGTGAGTTCAAGGGGACCTGCTCGTGGTCACGCGTGGGACGGGCGCCGGGGGCGGGGGGAGACGGGGGGGGGGCCTGGACAGCAGCCACCCGGGAACGTGCGTGTCGTGGGCTTGGAAGGACTCCCGAGCCTGCACGCCACAGATGTCACTGTCATTGCCGAGTGTGAGACTTGAGTAAGGGGGGACCCTAGCGTCTCCCCGGGGCTCGTAAGTTGCGAGGTGGTGCGGCTGATTTGTCTCGGTCCACAGTGCTCCAGCTCCTGTCGGGACAATGCTTCTACAGACCCACGAGCCGCTTCAAGTTCCCCCCAAACTTTTTTTTCTATATTATTTTGTTTTACATCTTTGATTTGGGAGGCCACATCCAGCGGTGCCCACGGCTTCCTCCTGACTCTTCACTCAGGGGTCACCCCTGGCAGGCTCAGGGGACCAGATGGGATGTCCGAGATCGAACCACACAATGTGCAAGACAAACGCCCTCCCCACTGTACTATCGATTCAGCGCAAAAGCTTTTATTCCACATCAGCCCCCAGACGAGCTGTCACGGTGGAACGTGCCCGTGGGTGGTTATTCCTCCTAGGAGGTTTAAAGTCAATTCCAGAACAAAAGAGGGACACATCTCTCCCCGAAGGGATCTATAAAAAGGATAAGGATGGGGGCCCCGTGAGATGGTACAGGGGTTAGGCACTTGCCTCGCCTGTCCCTGACCAGGGTTCAATCCCTGACTCCATATACGGGCCTCCCTGAGCACTGCCAGGTGTTCGGAGCCGAAAGTCAAAACAAAAACTACATTCTCGTTTGGCGACATACAATGACTTGCATTACAAAGCCAGTTGCTTCACTTCGAGGCTCTCCGATTCTAATATTTTGTCATCCCTAGTATTAATATCAAAGACTGTCCACATGGAGGTCAGCTACAGATAATCGAGCTAGATCAAGAGAAGCCTCTGACCAGTGAGGCTGGTTTTACGATTTAAACATTTGTGAAGCGCTTGAAGGACTGGAGAGCAGGTTTTGCATGTGGGAACTCTAGGTTTGCTTCTGAGCACTGTAGGGAGTCACCCCAGATCACCCAGCTCAGGATGATATACAAACCAGCTTTAGTAGATGCTTTTGTCTTTGTGAGGAACTGAGTGGGGAGAGAGAAATCGATGTTGAGCTCATGGTCCATCTTCCTTCTTTCTTATTACTGACCAGTTGGGTCACAATCGCTGTGAACCTTTGCCATCCATTGAAAGTTTCTCTTGTGATCTGGAGGAGTCTAAGTTGCCTTTGGGAACTGAGAAAGGGCTGGGAAAACAAACTTCCCTTTCATAGGGTGCCCAGCTGCTTCTTCCGTGCAGCAGTGAACCTTTTTTCCACATAGCAGTCAGTTGGTCAGCTGCAGCATTTGCTCCAGACCTCACCTTTCATGTACTGCCAGAGCAGCACAAGTGTCAAGCCACTTGTCTCTGCAAAGAATTCCTGCGCTCGGTGGAATGTCTCCATCCAACTAGATTTGTTATAAAATGTTGCACTGCTGGGCTGAGGTAGTTGTAGATCTTACGGAGGACTCTGGTAAGGAACTTCTTTCGACTTCCTGTTTGGGAAAAAGTGGATGGGCCTGAGAGTGTGTGAAGTGGATTTGGGTGGCAGTGTTGGTTTGTATGGTTTATACTTCGCAAATGATTCCAAAGCGGTGACTTTATCACAAGATTGCAAAATCCAGCAACAACTTCCTGGCTTTACTTCATTAGGGTGTTTTATATACCTATTGAAATGTTACTTGCTAAAACTAGTTCATGCTATTTCCTCGTGTAGAAAAATTTCCTGTGAAAATGCAAACCTAGAAAATGAGTCCAATAGAAAGTATTTCAGTTATATGGGAATAATTTAAGTCTGTTCAGGTAAAAAAAAAAAAATTCCAGGAGGAGCTATTTGTGCTCGTTGCTTTCAATGAAAAATAACTAATTTAGAAAAAAGTACTTGTAAGGTTTAAAATGACTTTTTATTAAACTTGTTAATATTTAAGAGAAAATGGATGTTCAAAGAATTAACTTTATCTCAATATTTATAAGTCATGTCTCTGCACACTGATTTTCAGCTAGACTGAGAGGTATTTTTTTTTTTTTTTGCGTCTGTGTTACTTAAGAGCATTAGGTTTTTAGCAAACATTTCTAATAATACCACTGTGTGGAGCAAGTTTAATTACCATTTCCTTGGAGTTTCGGAAAGTTAGAGGTAACTGGGTGCTGCTGAGTGCTTATGGCCTGTGAGATATATCAGGAAGGCTGAGGAAGAGTGTTCTTTTGTTTCTTTGTTTTTAGGTAGTACTCAGGGTTTACCCTCCCTCTGCGCTCAGGAGTTATTCCTGCTGGTGCTTGGGGGACAGCAAGGGGATGCTGGGGATTGAACCCAGGTCAGCCATGTGCAGGCAAGCGCCCTTCCTGCTGTGCTCTTTCCTCATCCCCAGGAAGAGTGTTTAGTAGGTCGAGTCTAGAATCCCCATGCCTGCAGTCCAGGGGCCGTGCAGCACCAAGCCAGCCCGAGAGGGGTGCCCTGGAGTCTGCCCTGCATCCCAGACCTAATAGGAAGTCCTGAATGGGACTAGAAGCCTCGCACAGAGCAGTCCTGAATCTTTTCAGCTGGGATTAGAAGTTCCTCCTTTAGCAGTAGAATCTGCAACAGAGAACTATCATTTCAGGTTCCTGTTATGACAGAATAAAGGCCTGAGTGAAAGGGGCAGCCATGGTCCATCCCCCCCTGGGTCAGTGGGGCTACTACGCTGGCCTTGAACACAATGATTTGTGTAATCTACACACATGGTACCCGCTGTGTGCCATGCCCGAGTCTAGGTGTGGTGAAACAGTCATAGAGAGGAAAATGAGTCGGAAATGAGCTGTGACTTTTTCCAATTTGATGAAAGCTAGAAATGGCCAATCGCAAAACAGAAACCCACACATTTTTTTTTTTTCCCCTGACGGCACAAGTTTTGTTAGTTGCTAGTACAGTGCCTGCAATATCTTCTGGGGGCATATAGTGAGGACCATGCCTTCACATTCTGTCACACAAGACCACAAGGCTCGGGGACTGAAAAGCAGGGCCAGAGGCCACAGCTGTGATTGATGGACCCAAGTCACCAGTGGTCCAGAGTTGGGCAGCTGCGTGTTGGTCTATAACATTTGGGCAAAACTGTGTTTTAGGGTCCTAATAAGAAGATTGAAAGTGGGAAAGAAACCAAAATTCTGTCAGACAGAATTTAATCTTGATTAGAATAGGTTCTTGAGGGCCTGGAGCGATAGTACAATAGGGAAGACACCTGCCTTGCACTTGGTTGACCTGGGTTCAATCCCAGCACCCCATATTCAACAAAGGTTTCTTAAGAATAGGCTCTTGAAGTGTGATTCAGAGACAGGTGATGGCATTGTGGTTTGGGATCCTGTGAATAGGGCATCATGGAATTCGAAAACATTGTCCTGGGCTGGAGTGATAATACAGCAGGCAGGGCATTTACCTTGCATGCAGCCGACCCGAGTTTGATCACTGGAACCCCATATGGTCCCCTGAACCTTGCCAGAACTGATCCCTGAGTGCAGAACCAGGTCTAAGTCCTGAGCATTTCCAGATGTGGCACAAAAACCAAAAAGGAAAAGAAAAGAAAAGAAAACATTGGCCTGTCTCTGGCCCTCTCTCTGCAGAAGCCATGGACCTTGGGTAAGTCATGTCAGGGTTAGAGATCAGATTTCTCTCCAGGAAGAATTTTGCGGGGGTGGAGTAAATACCTCATAGGCCGTATGTTCCTCTGCAGTGTGAGGATATAGCAAATTGCTTTCTGGAATTTAAATCTGTATACCCACAAGGTAAAATAACCAATTTCCTTGACATTACTCTTTTATAAATATCGCTATAACTAGACCAGACTGTAGCACTGTAGCACTGTCCTCCCATTTTGCATCGATTTGCTTGAGTGGGCACCAGTAACGTCTCCATTGTGAGACTTGTTGTTACTGTTTTTGGCATATTGAATACGCCACGGGAAGCTTACCAGGATTACCAGGCTCTTACAGGGAGCTTAAGTACGGGCAGGATACTCTCATTAGCTTGCCAGGCTCTCCGAGAGGGACGGAGGAATCGAACCCAGGTCAGCCATGTACAAGGCAAACGCCCTACCCTCTGTGCTCTCGCTCCAGACTGTATGTTTAGTTTTGATGTAAACCTGAATTCTTGGCATGAAACATCGCCTGCTTTTATTTCAGGGTTAACCTCCATTTCACCTCATCATGGGAGAGATTAAAGTCTCTCCTGATTATAACTGGTTTAGAAGTACAGTTCCCCTTAAAAAGGTATGTATGACTTTTCCTACACCTCTTCTTTGCAAAATCCAGTACTGTTTTGTGTGTAATCTAGATGTGTCTGCCTTAGTGTGGGCGAGTAAAAGCTACTGCCAGTGTCAGGACTTTGGGGCGCTGAACTTGAAAGTTCACCTCTCCCTGTCACCTGTCACCAGTGTAATGGGCTTTTGAGATGCATTCGAGGTCAAAGTGAGCTTAATGATACTCACTTTACCTTTGCTTTACATTTCTGAGCAAGCAGGAACGTCTGACTTGCTCTCTGTAGATCAGTGGCATGTATGGAGCAATAGCAGCTATGAAGTAAGTGCACAGAGTCTATGCCACAGTGTTTATCTGTGCCCCGGATTAAAGTTTTACCCTGGGTCACATGATTCATTGCTGTAGTCATCTTGGGAACCTGATCTGTCTGGATTGTCTACAGTAATCCTAAATGATTGGGGCTCTTCCAGTTAGCCTAGAGTCTTGGTGTTTATTCAGAAGTATAAATGTGCAGTGGTTTAAGACATTTGCTGTTAGAAACCGGAGAGGTAGTATAGCAGATTCAGTCCCTGGAATCCCATATGGTTCCCAGAACTCCACCAGGAGTGATCTCTGTGTGTTGAATTTGGAGTAAGCCCTGAGAAACACCAGTTGGGGCCACCTGCCCTCTGGAAAAAGAATAAAATTAACTTGAAAATTAATCTGGCTGCTTACCAAAAATCGCCCCGCTTTATTTCATGCTACCCAGGAAGCTGTAGCCCTGTGCTGGTTCCTGGGACCCCGTGCCTGCCCACCCTGCCAACCTAGACCATGTGAGATTCCCTGACGCATTTGCCCGTGTGGCATGTGGGGAGTGAGCAAACCTCAACACCTCCATTTATGTACAGATTCTGAGAGGCGATTAAGGGGAGCAGTTTCATCCATGTCTGTGGTCCCATTAGCCTGAGCTACCTAGTCATCGTAGGTTTGCCGAAGTTTGCTGGATCTTAATTGCTTGGGGGTTTTTTGGTTTTTTGTTTTGTTTTGTTTTGTTTGCAGTGAGGGGTACACCCATTGGTGCTCAGGGGCTATTCTGAACTCTGTGTTTATGGGACCTCCTGGAGGTGCTTAGCTATAGGAAGCACCCCGATAAAATTTTCCCCCACCCCTTTCCTTTTCTCTTTTGGTCCTCACTCAGCAGTGCTCAGAGGACCACATGGTATAGGAATCAAACCCGGGCTTCTAGTTCACAAAGCATGAACTCCAGCTCATTGGGCTATCTCTCTGGCCCAGTGTTGGGTTTTAAATTATCAGATATTTAGTGTGTCTCCTAAAGAAACTCTGACAAAATTGTCACTGTGGAAGTGGGACTAGAGAGATTGCATAGCATTTAGGGGTTCTTGCCTTGCACGCTGCTGGCATGGGTCCAGTGCCCAGCAGCACATGTGGTCTCCTGAGTCCCACCAGGAGTAAGCCCTGAGCACTGCTAGGCGTGGCCAGAAACAAACCAAAAAATGGAAATGGTAAGCAAGTTTTAACTATTTAGAAAATACTATTTTGATTACTCTGGGATTTTATAAGATTAGTGTATACTGTATGAACTGTGAAAGGTCATTATGAAATTTGGGGGGAGGGTGTCATATTCATAACCAAAAAGAAACAGGAAATACAAAACTGTGAGTAGCAAAATACAAAGGGCAATACAGGAGCATGCATAGCCTGGGGAAGTCGAGAGGAAATTGGTAGTCCCTGCACCACATCTGTTCTAGGATCCCAGTGACATCTGTGCCCTGGTGCCTCCCTCAGTGACACCAGCAGGTACTCTCAGAAAATAGCACCTGCAGGCCCTGAACTTTTTAATGTACACGTAAGACAAGTACTGATTTGCATCGGCCAAAGGCCACACAGGGGCCCGGGAGATAGTATAGCTGGTAGCATATTTGCCTTGCACATAATCTTACACATTGACCCAGGTTCTAATCCCCCTCACTCAGCAGTGCTCAGAGGACCATGTGGTATAGGAATCGAACCCGGGCTTCTAGTTCACAATGTACATATGAAGCCCTGAGCACACTTAACAAATGAATTAAATAAGCTCAAGCGGTTAATGTACTTTTCCTGATATCACCACAAGTCCACAGAAACTACAATGCAACCATCATAGAGTGAGATACGACAAACTAACACCGAACTCCCAAGAGCTGACTCCACACTGAGCCTAGGCTGCAGGGCAGCTGATGAATGCTCATCTCCTCCCCCTCCTTCCATGACCCAACAAAGCCCATGTTCTCCCATGCAGTCCCCCACCCCTGACTGAGCAGTTTGGGACAGTGCATCTCTCTGCCTCTGGCCTCAGTCTTGCCATTGGTCTTTGTCAGGTTTTGAAGCATCACCCGAGTGGTACTGTCTACTCAGTGTCTGCTGAGAGCTTCAAGTCCTGACTTCCTCCTTCTTCCATTCTGATCCTATTGTCTCAGCCAGCCTGTACACACACACACACACACACACACACACACACACACCAGCATACATACACATACACCAGCATACATACACACACATGCACACATATACAAGTTCATATATACACACACACACAGGTAACATATACATACATTCATGCATAGGGTATGTATACCCAGGGTGCACATACCCAGGGTGCACACATGTGCAAATGCATACACATACACTGATCCACGTATCCAGATACAGATAAATGCATATTACAGATACACAAGTGCATGAGTATACATGTAGATACTGTACACAGACATTCACATACACTCATACAGATGTGAACATACATATGCATACACATAGATACATGCACACACACATGCGTGGAAGAAGGAAGGTCCCAGAGAGAGACCAAATCTGGCTATGGGCAAACAAGACCAACTTCATCTATTGATGAATGGGGAGGAAACATTTCAACTAATAACAAGGCATTCTTTGGTAGAAAGTGGCTCTGTGGAACGTTTTCTCCGCACTGAAGAAAGACTCATCGTACACACTGGTCTGTGTTGACCGCAGAAGGCAGTTTGGTGAGAATTGTCAGCGGAATCACGGTGTAAAGCAGTGTGTTGTGAAGCCAGATCTATATGCTGTTTCTTCCCCTAAACCTTTACCCCAGATTATTGTGGATGACGACGACAGTAAGATATGGTCACTCTACGACGCAGGCCCCAGAAACATCCGGTGCCCGCTCATATTCCTGCCTCCAGTCAGCGGAACCGCAGATGTGTTCTTCCAGCAGATTCTGACTTTGACTGGATGGGGTTACCGGGTCATTGCTGTAAGTACGGCCAAGTCAGCGGCCATGCCCAGGCCCACAGCTTTTGTTTCTATGCTTTTGCTTCTGAACGACTGTGCTGGAGCATAGAAACTTCTAGCCTTTCACTGAGGTTAGAAGTTTCCCTTTAAAAAATGTGAATTGAGAGGCTGGAGAGATAGTACAGAGGCAAGTACACATGCCCTGTATGCAGCCAGCCTGGGTTTGATCCCCGTGTGGTCCCCCATGCTCTCCAGGAGTGATTCCTGAGTACCACTGGGTATGGCCCCCAAACAAAAATGTGAAATGGGGGATGGGAGATAGTGGAACACCTAGAAGTCAAGCCGCACCTGCTCCCTGACTCAGGTCTGATTCCTGGTACCATTTGGTCTTGTAGGTACTGCCAGGTGGGGCCCAGGTTTGCCCAATACTTGCAGGCCTTTGCAGCTTCTCATCCATGAGCTATTCTGCTGAATCAATGAGCTGGTTGGCCAGAAATTGTCATGGGGTCTCCAGACCTCCTGAGCTTGGGTGCTCCCTCCCCCAGAAATGCAAATGTGAATGGAAGCCTTTGGAGGAAGGTGGTGTGTGAGCATGGCACAGTGCCCGAGTGTGCCTCTGCATTTATCATGCTTCTCTCCCGGGACTCAGCTCAGGTCCAAAGCAAAGGCAGGAAGCTTCGTCTCTGTGTGCAGCTGCAAGGCCACACCTGTCAGCAGCAGGGGGAGAGCGCTCAGCCACCTCGTTTCTGCAGCCCTGCTTCTGAGGCACTGAGGGGGCGTTCCCAGCACACAGAGGGGCCCACTCAGGTCCAAGGAACTAAGCTGCCTCCTGTGGAAAACCCTTACGGTGGAGGTAAAGGCGAGCCCTAAGACCCTTAATGCTTGGGAAAACCCCCTTACAGTACAGGTGAGGGCAAGCTCCGAGGTCCTTTGTGTTTGGTCAAGGAGGGTTTTTTTGGTTTTGTTTTTGTTTTTTTCTTTTCGTTTCTGATTTTTACTTTATCACTGAGTTTCTCAAAATTCAGTGTGGCGTGGTCTTTCTCGCTTCTCCCGCAGAAGGAAGGTGTCACTAGGGAAGGCACCATGCTTGTGAGTGACTTTCTGGCCTTGGTCTCCTAATGTCCCTAGAAATTTGGTGTCTTTGGCCTTGGAGCTGGCAGCTGTTTTAGGGGCATAGAATATGGACATGGAAATGCTACTCTCCATCAGAGTACTCCTCTTATTGCTGATTTTATTTCCTGCCTCAAGGACAAATCTCCAAAAAAAAAAAAAGGACAAATCTCTTACCAGCAAGTAGGGCCCACATAAGCCAAATTCAGTTCCTCTTCCTCCTGCCCTCTTTCTTGGGAACTCATTGCCGACACTTCCTGTTGCCTCCTCCACCTTTTTCTTCGTGGAATTCCTCAGAAGATGAGGCTGGAGAGTTTGCATAGCGGATAAAGCCCTTGCCATGCAATCATCAGACCCTGGCTTGATCCTTGGCACCCCACCCATATGGCTCCCCGAGCACTGCCAGGAATATTTTCTGAGCATAGAGCCAGGAGTACACCTGAGCATCTCCAGGTGTGGCCCAAAAACAAACTAACAAAAAAACAAAACAAAACAAAATTCCTCAGAGGGCTCATTGAGCCTCTGTTCTAGGTTTCCAGGAACCTCTGCTCACTCACAGAGGCCAGAAGAGCAGATGGGAGCAGACCTCAGCCCAGACCTCACCCCGCCTTGAGAATGGCATTGTCTCTCCAGGGCCACTAATGATCAGCCCAGGAGGGAAAGAGGCTCCAGGACAGAGTGCTCACATGTCTGTGGAATGATCCCCGCCACACTACACAGACTCTCCTGAGCACCACGGCCACGTGTCTCCAAGTGCCAGACCGAAATATGCCACCCCGTGGTCAGGGCCACCAAGTGTACTAGCTTCACAACTAGGTGTGGACCTCCTGGTCATTGCAGCAGTGACAGAAACAAAGGGGGTGGGAGTTTGACCACCAGGTACCTCAACCCGTGGAGAAGTTTCAAGCTTGTTAGGTATTTACTGATAATCTAGCAGTGAAGAGGCACAATTCTTTTCCCAGTTAAGTTTGATTCTAGACTCACATGCAGTTGTGAGGAAGGACTTCAAGAGACATGGCTTTGACACACTTAGCACAGCTCCTCCCCATGGCAACATTTTGCAAAACTTCAGTGACAAAAGACAGCCACAACCCACATGTTTCTGTAGTTCCCTGTTTGACTTGGAGTCAGTTCTGTGTATTGAGTCGCATCTAATTTTATCACCTCTCTAGAACATACTTTTGGGGGGGGGGGGTGGAGGAGGCATACCTGACTGTGACTGCCCATACTCAGTGAGACCCTGTGCTTCTTGCTCAGCCATCACTCCTGGCAGTGTTCAAGGGACCCTATGTGGTACTGGGCATTGAATGAAGTCAGTGGCATGCAGTACAGTCTCCCTCCCCACTGTACCGTTTCTTTGAAAGCTTCTTAGAACATAAACTGTGGGTCTCAGCCCTGTCATGTAACTGGATATGGGGGTCATAACAAATTTACTTTAAAATAAATTTGAATTGTTACAGGATGTTTGATTTGTATGCTTATTTCATATACCTGCAGACCCAGGATTGCATAAAAATTTCTCTGGTGAAAATAGTCTTGAATGGAAGATGTTTCAGGAAGGGGGGACTTGAAGGAGGGTTGTTTTTATGTTTTGGCACCTAACCCAGAGGTGCTCTGGGGTATCCATGCTGTGCTGGGTATGGAACCTGGGCTTCCTACGAGCAAAGCCTGCGCTTGAGCGCCTTGAACTCTTTCTAAGACCTGGCACAGTATTTTTAAATTAAAGGCTTCCTAGGGCTGGAGTGATAGTACAGCAGGTAGGGTGCTTGCCTTGCATGCAACTGACCTGAGTTTGATTCCCAGAATCCCATATGATCCCCTGAGTACTGCCAGGAGTAATTCCTGAGTGCAGAGCCAGGAGTAAGCTCTGAGCATGGCCGGGTGTGACCCCCAAAACAAAATTAAAAAAAAAATAAAGCTAAAGACTTTATAAAGTCCACCTCCTATCTGTTAGCTGACACAGATTCTCAGATTTCCTGTTTAGGAGAGCCTGTCTCCACCCTGTCTCAGAATTATGAAATGGAATCTACAAATGGAACTTTAAGATTCAAAGTGACATATTAGGGGCCAGGATAGTGGTTCAGGGGGTTTGGAGGGATTTTTGCATACTGGTGCCTGGAAGTCAGCGCCTGACATTGCCGAGCTGAGACTTCCCCAAATCAGTAGGATTACAACAGACTTGAAAGTCCCCTCTACATTTCAGAATCCAGTCCGATGACTGTAACAGCAGGATGAATCTAAGTGCTTCAGATAAACCTGTTGGTAGCTGTGTTGTCTTAAGAGTGGGCCCACCCCAGGGTGCTCTCCCCGCCAGCCCCGGCACCCGGCACAGTGCTCAGAGGTGAGGGGCTTCCCTCACTCAGCCGTGCTGGGGGGCTGTGCAGTGCCAGAGGTTGAACTCAGGCCTCCTGCATGCAGGGCGTGTATCCCAGCCTTCCAAGCCATCTTCCCAGCCTCAGAGGGGGGATACTTTGGTGACAAGCCTGAGTCCCCAGAGACAAATGAGTGGCCCATGATTATTTCTTCTCATCTTAGTTAACACCGATGTCCAGACTGTTGTAGATTAAGCATCCCACCTTTGGGATCACAAATACAGACAGGAAATCAGACAGAGGGGCCAGAAAGATAACATAGAGGTTAGTGTGTGTGCCTTGCGTGCCACTGACCCAGCGGTTGCTCCCCGGCCCCACATGGTCCCAAGCATTACTGGGTGCAGCCCTAGGGGCCCTCAGAACTGTCCAAAGTCTGGGTTATCCCCAGCACTGCAGGGGCCAAGCAACACCATCTCCTCAGCCCCAAGTGTTGAACCACTGTTCAAATCACCCGGAAGGGTCCCCAGGCATCTCGGGCATTCTTGGAAAGGTGAAAAAAAAAAATCAAAATGACCCAGTCACAATTTTATTGAATACCTCCTTTAAAAATGGTAGTAAAGGGAGGATCTTGGGGCCGGAGAGACTGTGCAGTGGGTAAAGAGTTTGTCTTGCATGTGATCTACCCTGATTCAATCTCCAGCACCCTATATGGTCCCCTGAGCACTGCCAGGAGTAATTCCTGATTGCAGAGCCAGGAGTAATCCCTGAGCACTGTCAGATGTGACCCAAAAATAAGAGAGTTGGAGGGAGGGAAGAAGAGGATCTCTCCTTAGAATGAATTGTGGGGGGAGGCTAATTTGAACGGTACCCAATGGCACTCAGAGCTTACTCCTGGCCCAGAGATAGCTCCCAGGTAGTGCTTAGTGGGAGACCCTGTGCAGTCCTGGGTGCCAGATGGGGATTCAACTGCATGCAAGGAGAGCATTTCCCTCATGCACTATCTCTCCAGCCCCTCCTTAGAAAAGATTTTATTTCTAGTTCTCTTAAGCCATTAACTCTGGGTGGAATTGGATGTATTTTTTTTTTAATTTTAAAATTTTATTTTATTAGGTTGTTCACTTTAATTGATTACATTCAATATTTCAACACCTATCCCACCACCATTACACCTTCCCACCACCATTATTTTGATTTTTCCCACCATCACTCAAGCCTGCCTGCTACAGGTAGATGCTAGATAAATTATTTTCTATTGCTTGTTATGGATATCATGAGGTGTCACGCAGCCGCGAAAGCGGCCATGTGCTCCTAGAATTCTAAGGTTGTAAATGGTTGAGGTCTGGAGATATCTCTGCAGCAAGCTAATCTGTTCCGAGGTTCATTTGTGAGTCTCGGGATCAAGACCGTTGATGTGCTTAAGTGGAACCCAGAGGTAGTTTGTGGGTATGACAGCCAGGACCCCGAAGGGGTAGGGATACAGGGAGGGACATGTGGCCATGTGGCCTGGAGTCTTCAGTCCCTGTCCCGCGTACCTGGACTTTTCTTTTGGAAGTTTGTGACTGCCAGGGGTTAATTTGGAGTAGGCGGAGAGAGGACACCTGCTCCATATGAGATTCCCCAGTGAAATTGGCCCCACATAGGGTCTGGAGAAATCTCCAGCAAGCTGCTGTCTTCTGGGATTCATTCCTGAGTCCTGGAATTGAATTTAAGGGAAACTTGTTTTCTTAGTTAGGTTCTGCTCTGTTCATCCTTGATCTCAAATTGTCTTAACTATTTTGAAGGGGAAATGGGGTGAATTAAAAATTAAATTGTTCCTATAACACTACTGGAGTGTGCCTTTTAATTCTTTTTCAGTTGGTCTGTTATGCAGAATGTGGATTTATGAAGTTAGGAGACAATCAAGAGTTTATTTTTACATTTTTTTTTTATCAAAAGCAGAGCTTGAGCAATTGAGAACTACTATTATGTGAATCATAAATATTTCTGATATGTGAGTTACAATTTACCTTTAAATTTTTTTAATGAATTCTAAAATTGAAATTTCAGTTGCAGTATCCAGTTTATTGGGACCATCTTGAATTCTGTGATGGATTCAGAAAACTTTTAGACCATTTACAATTGGATAAAGTGAGTACCCTGAAACTAATTTCTTGCATTTCTTCCCCCACCTTTCTCTGTCTCTCTGTCCCTCTGTCTTTCTCTTTCTCTCTCTTTCTCTCGCCCTTCCCTCCCCCCCCTTTCTTCCCTTCCCCCGCCCCATCAGGTGTCAAACCCAGGGCTGCTCATGCAAGGCAAGCACTCTGCCTCTGAGCTACATTTTCAGCTTATATTTATTTATTTGTTTGGCCACATCCAGTGGTTCTTAGTGGCTATTTCTGCTATTTCTGCTCTGTGCTCAGGAGTGTCCCCTGGTGGTACTCAGGGGGACCGTATGTGGAACCAGGGATTGGAAGTGGGGTTGACAGGATACGAGGCAAGTGCCTTAGTCCCTGTCCTCTCTGGCCACCCATTGACTTTGCTGCAAGAGTTACATTAGAAAGCTCTTGTGGCATTTTGCTTTAATAATGTCTTCTGTGAGATACAATCATACCCCTCACAATTTAGCCTTATAGAGTATATAATTTAATGGTTTCTGATATATTCTCAGTAACATACCATCATCACATGGTAGAGTCAACTCTAGAAACTTTTTGAAGACCAGAACAGTAGTACAGTGGGTAGGGCGCTTGTCTTGCGTGTATCTGACCCACATTTGGTCCCCACCACCCCGTATGTTTCCACAAACACCACTAGGAGTGATCTCTGAGCTCAGAGCCAAGAGTAAGCCCTGAGCACCACTGGGTGTGGTCCAAAAACCAAATAATAATAAAATTAATTTTTAAAAAAATTTTTATGTAGGAGTACTGCTATTTATTCAGCCACTGATTAGGCTGATTGAATTTTGCATGAATGCCACAAAATTAATTTTTTCAAGAAACTTTTCTGAGGGTGTGTTGCCAGGGGTTGAACCCAGATAAGTGGCATTTGCCTCACCCAGGCCAGGCAAGTCCTCTATTGCTGAGCTACATCCCTGACTAATTTTAGAACATTTTTCTAAATGAACTCCCAGAAAAAACTATCTTAGGAGTTTTTCCTCCCAATGTCTCTCTTCCCCTCACCCAGGTAACCTATCCACTTTCTATTTTATGGAGTAGTCCTCTGGTGACCAGCTTTTGTCATATATTGTTTACAAGCCTCATCTGGGATCAGCACTTCTTTTTCTTCTATTGATAAGCAATAGCCAATTGTATGATCATCTGTCCATCAGTTCTGCATGTCTGAATTGTTTCCACTGTCCGGCTGTTACAAATAATGCTGATAATAAACCTTCTTGTTCAAGTCTTTATGTGATTCACTTCGGTAGATATCTGGGAGTGAAAGTGGTAGATCAGAGTTTCTTAAACAGTGTTTTTTTTTTCCGAATAAAATATGAATCTCATTTAAAATTAATTTTTAATTAAATAGTTTTTAACTTGGCACCGCACCCGGCAGTGCTCAGGGATCACTCCTGGCAGTGCTTGGGGACCATATGTGGTGTTGGGGCTTGAACTTCGGTCAGCAGTGTGCAAGTCAACCGCCCTCCCTGCCGTGCTATCTCTCTCGCCCCTGAGTCATATTTTTTAATGTGGTATAATTTGTGTGCAGTTGTTCTGCTTGACAGGGTAGCTAAGCTGCAGTGAAGTGTGGGTTTTTGACATTTCTAACTGTAGTAGATAAAGTTCAGCTTAGCTAGTCTCTAGTGGTGACATGATACTCAAAAAACAACACTTGTGATAATAAATTTTTTAAATTTTTTTTTAATTTTGGGGGTCACACCAGCAATGCTCAGGGGTTACTCCTGGCTCTGCACTTAGGAATCACGCCTGGTGGTGCTCAGGGGACCATATGGGATGCCAGGGATCAAACCCAGGTTGGCAGCGTGCAAGGCAAATGCCCTACCCACTGTACTATCACTCTGGCCCTAGGCATAATTTCTGAGTGTAGAGCCATGAGTCACCCCTGAGCACCGCCAGGTATAGGCCCCCCCCCATCAAAAAATTAGTATGTAAAATAAAAATATATAACGCGTTGGTTTGTTGTCATGGAAATATCATATTAAATTGTTAACATCATTGTGTTATTACCAAGACAGTTGAACATTTAATTTTATTTCTTGACTGATGTTTTGTGTGTTTAGCCTTGTATTTCCGACTGGACTAAGACAAACGCCCTACCCACTGTACTATCGTCCAGCCCCGTGATGATTAATTATTAAACAAGGAATGATCATTGCTTCAGCACCTCTTACATTTGTTTGCAATTAGGTTCATCTTTTTGGGGCATCTTTGGGAGGCTTTTTGGCCCAGAAATTTGCAGAATATACTCACAAATCTCCCAGAGTCCATTCCCTCATCCTGTGCAACTCTTTCAGCGATACCTCCATCTTCAACCAGACCTGGACCGCGAACAGGTGAGACCAGAGACCTTCAGCCAGTCTTCAGCAGTTTTGCTTCATGGGGTTTGAGAATGTTGATTGGGGGGTTTGCGTGCAGTAGAGATGGGGAGATTCGCTCCGCTGTGTCTTCAGTCCCACCCTGTGAGAAACAGAGGGGCCGGAGTGTTGGCTCAGCAGGTAGAATGCTAGCCTTGCACAAGGCCAACCTGGGTTCCAGCCTTGGCACCCTGATGATCTGATCACCGCCAGGAGCGAGGCAGTCCTGGCTTCTCACAATCAAAACAACATTCAAGACCAGGAAACGTGATCATTGAGCCTTAATACATCATGTGGACTTAAGCTATTTGTAGCTGACGTGTCTGAGAGATTTCTGTGTAAATGCCAAGTCTGCTGAGATAGTACCAGAAACATTTAAAAAGCTGTATCAAGGGCTGAAACAATAGCACAGCGGGTAGGGCATTTGCCTTGCATGTAGCCAGCCTGGATTCTATCCCCAATACCCCAGATGGTCCCCTAAGCACCATCAGGAGTAATTCCTAAATACAGAGCAAGGAGTAAGTGCTGGGCACCACTGGGTATGACCCCCAACATACACACACACACACACACACACACACACACACACACACACGTATATAATGAATAGTGAATTTAAGAACATTGAATTATAAAGATTAATACACAGCAATCTACTGTATTTTAATTTCATTCTTAATTTTTAAAAACTTTTTTTTTAAAGCACTATGATTTACAAAGTTATAGTTGGGTTTTAGACATACAACGTTTCAGCACCAATCTCCCACCAGTATCTTCCCTCACCAGGATTCGGGGCTCCCCACTCACACCCCATGCCCAGCCTGCCACCTGGACAGGCCCATTTTGATGTTTGGTCATTGGAGTTTGGGTCTTGTTTTCAGTGTCACAGCTTGGTTTGGATATCTGCTCTCCCAAACGCCTGGACCCTCAGTCCCTGTGTCTGTCTCAGTCTAGCTCATCTTTCCCTCAGCTGCACTTTTATATGCTACCAACTGTTTAATTAATTGATTTGGGTTTTTTTGCCACACCCAGTGGCTCTTGGGGCTTACTCCTGGCTCTGCTCCAGGGTCAGCATGGGGACTATCTTTCTTGACCCATTGTGTCTGTTTGGTTTTTGGTTTTTTGGTTTTGGTTTTGGGACCACATCGAGCCATGCTCTGGGCTTACTCCTGCACTCTGCCGATGGCCATGTACTCTGCCCTTGAGCTACTTTCTGAATCTGAGAGCGCACACAGGCGGGGCTGGGATTCCTACACTGGGGAACAGACACAAGGGCCACCACTCACAAGGCCAACCTTGGTCTTTAGAAGAGAAGGTTGATGGGATCTGAGCGATAACACTGTGGGGAGGGCATTTGCCTTCCACGAGATTGACCTGCATTCAATATCTGTCATCCCACATGGGCCTCCAAGCACCGCCTTGAGCACTGCCAGGTGTGGCCTCAAAACAGAAAAACTGTTGTTTCCTTTAAAAATAAGAAGGGAAAGTTGGGACGGAGACACAGTACAATGGGGAGGGCACTTGCCCTGCACACAGCTGGCCCAGGTTCAAGCTCCAGCGTCCCATATGGTCCTTTGATCCTGCCAGGAGTAACTCCTGAGTGTAGAGTCAGGAGTAAGCCCTGAGCACTACTGTTTGTGGCCCAAGAAGCCAGAAGAGGAGGAGGAGGAGTTGTTGTGGGCATGAGAACTAGAAAAGTAGAGCCCGAGAGAGCTCAGCAGGTGAGCAGTGCTCAGGGCTTTCTCCTGACTCTGTGCTCAGGGATCACTCCTGGCAGAATTCGGGGGACCATGTGGGATGCCGGAATAAACCTGGGTCAGCCACATGCAAGATAATCCCCCGACCCTGTACTATCTCTCTGGCCCCTATGAGGGCTCATGCTTTGTTTAGTTTTGTTTTGGAGCCGAGCAGTGCCCAGGGGACTGTATGGGATACCAGAGGTTGAACCCGTTGGCCACAGACAAAGCAAGCACCTTACCCTCTGTACTATCTCTGGCCCCGAAGGCTTATTTCTTAAGTGTTTATTTTCCAAAGGAAATTGTTTAACAATTGGAAATAAGTTCTAATTAGGAGGGGGGAAATCTTGGCATTATCAAAATATGAAATATAGTGTAAAATTATTCCTAATGATCAAATAAAAGTTAAATCATGTTCATTCTTAACATTTCGGGAACTTGGAAAAGTGTACAGAAAAATTAGGTACTTCGGAACTAGCTTTCTGAAGGAAGAATGGAGGTCTTTTTATATCAAGATCCCAAGTCCTGAGGTAATAAAACTTCATTGTTGAATGTATGATCTGCCTTTCGTATGTAGTATTGGACATGTAACTGATCAATTCTTTGTTCCACAGCTTCTGGCTCATGCCATCATTTATGCTTAAAAAAATAGTTCTTGGAAACTTTGCATCTGGCCCCGTGGACCCTATGATGGCTAATGCCATTGACTTCATGGTGGACAGGGTGAGTGTGGGTCATGCCTTTGGGCCAGGGATGCGTGTGCTGGGAACATTCCTCTCTGCCCTACTGTGGATGTGTTAGCGGCGCTGGTCAGCGGTATCCCACATTCACTTGAATGTGTCCCGACAGACAAATGGCTGGTACGGGGCTGGCTTCCCCAGATAGCTACCCATCAAAACCAACTGGCAGAGTTTTTAGAGCTCTAAATTTCAAAACCTTGTGCTGGGAACCTGGGTTTTGTGTTTTGGGGGTTGGGGGTGGGGTCAGACCTGGCAGTGCTCAGGACTTCCTCCTGATAGCACTCAGAGCTCACTCCTGGTGGGGTCAGGAAACCATGTGGGATGCTGGGGATCAAACCCAGTTCGGGTGCCTGCAAGGCGAGTGCCCTCTGGAGCCTGTGCACTGGTGTTGTTCTTGCCCTGGGAACCTGTGTTTTTACTGTACTTTCCCTTTTCTACTCTCCCAAGTGAGTCTGAGCTAGCAGGACTGGCATATATAAAATCAGTGGGTTGAATGTCATTGTGCAAACCCAAATCAATTTTGACACTTTTCCTGTCTCCTCCTGCAGTTGGAAAGTTTGGGTCAGAGTGAATTAGCATCAAGACTTACCCTGAACTGTCAGAATTCTTACGTGGAGCCTCATAAAATTCGGGACATCCCTGTAACTATTATGGATGTAAGCTTTCTCTTTCTTTGTTTGCTTGGGTTTTGTGTTGTGTTTAGTTTAGTGTTTTTTGTTTGTTTGTTTGTTTGTTTTATAGAGGGGGGTACTTCCAGATTGGTCTGTCTTGGCCAATTGCACCGTGGGTCCGAGGATGTTATGCTGCTCAGGCCTGCCCTAAGCCAGGGACCAACCTGGCCTGTCCACCTGCAGGGAAAGTGCCTTAGCCCCTAGAGTGTCTCTCCAGCCCTATTTGAACTTTCATTTGTTTATTTGTTTGGGGGCCACAAACAGAAGAAAAGAAAAAGGAAATTATAGATATTTGACAGCAATTATATATATACACACACACACACACACACACACACATATATATATATATATATACATACATACATATACATATGTATCTGGGAGCCAGAGAGAAAGTGCAGGGATTGGGGCTCTTGCCTTCCAAGTGACCAACCCCAGTTTCATCCCTGTCACTACATTTTCCCCTGAGCACTGCCAGGAGTAGCTCAAACCCCCACCTCAGGCCCCAATTTTTTTTAAACCTATAGCTAATGTTGTAGGTTGGCGTTGGAGCTGACCAGTACACAGGGGTTCACTAGAATGGTGGCTTTGGGGGGGACACTTGGCCTACTGTGAAAGGACCCTGGGAGAGTGGCAGGAGGCCTCCCCTTGCCTTGTGTGTTCTCCACAGGTGTTTGACCAGAGCGCGCTGTCCACAGAAGCTAAGGAAGAGATGTACAAGCTGTACCCTAACGCTCGGAGGGCACACCTGAAGACGGGGGGCAACTTCCCATACCTGTGCAGGAGCGCGGAGGTGAACCTGTACGTGCAGGTAAGTTCAAGCTCGGGCCTGCAGACCCTTAAAGGGGGGGCACGGGGGGGAACACCTTCTGGGATTGGAAACAGATTATTGTATAGGTTGTTATGGGAAAATCAGAGAGTAAGAAAGCTGTAGAATTTTCTGTCCAAGTGAAACATTGGCTTGATAAGTGTTTACTGTGATTGTTTCTGGAGCTGGAGTGACAGGACAACAGGCACCACTTGCATAAGGTGAACCCTGGTTCAATCCCTGTCACCCCATATGGTTCCCCAAGCATTGCCAGGATGATCCCTGAGCTCAGAGCTAGGAGGAAGGCCAGAGCACAGCCAGGGGTAACCCCAAAATCCCACCCAAAAATTAAAAAGCAAAAAACACAGTGATCAGTTTTTGAGACTTCAGATTTATTGGAGACACCCCAGAACTGCACAGCGGCAGGTAACCACACCCCAGTAGCTGCGAAGGACCTTGACCCCTATCCTGTTGGTGAGGTCAGTCAGAGCCCATGAATGACTTCTTTAACTAATTCTAATGCATCACACACACACACACACACACACACACACAGTCTTTTTTGTGTTTTGGGGTTTTTTTTTTAACTGGCAGTGCTGTAGGCCAGCCCTTCCTGGGGTATTGCAGTGCCATGACTCAAACCCCAGCCTCCCGCATGCAAAGCAGAGCTTGTGTGCCAGCCTTTCAAGACATACATATTCCCAGCTCCCAGAGACAGCCTCTTTATCCTCTGGGTCATGAATATTGGAAAATGGTGTGAGAAACAATTGCCTTGGCCTTTGGCAAGAAGCCCCAAGAGCTCCCTGTCCCATCCCTTGACCCCGTCATGAGCAGTGGCTGTGGGTCTAAGCACCCTGAATAGAGAAATGGTCCCATGTGAGGGTGTTAAGACAGCCGAGGCCAGGGGGGACCCTCACCCCGAACAGCAGGGGGATGGGTAGATGGCGAGGGACTGGGCAAGTTCTTCTCTCTCCTGGGGCATCTGCAGGGGCACTCGCACAGTGACTTGCCCGTTCTCTAAGTCTTTCTCTGGTGCCTTCACTCCGTGGTTTCCGAGGCATGACATTTGCCCTGGTGGTGCTGCCTTTCTGCAGATACATTTACTACAATTCCACGGAACCAAATACGCAGCCATCGACCCGTCGATGGTAAGCGCAGAGGAACTGGAAGTGCAGAAGGGCAGCCTGGGTGGCCCCGAGGAGCAGTAGCCAAGGATGAGCCTGGCGAGCACCATCGTGATCTCATGCCCTGCGGCCTCAGGGCCCCGGCCTGGCCCCAAAGCAGAAGCTGGCGGAGTCTCGGCGACAGGCGACAGCTCTTCTGAGTCAGGGGACCTGCCTCCTCTCTGTCTTTTTTAGCTTTTGAATCTGAAGAGGTACTGTTGCAGATTCCCGTTTTAAGAATCGCATCAATTTTGCTACCAAAGTCTTCAGCACTCTGTCCGGAAGTGAATGTTGATGTTCCCCTTTTTTCCTGTCATTGTCCTCGTCATTGTCTTCCCATCACTCTCTGTCAGTGCTACACGTTGTGGCCGTGTCCACGTGCTCCTGGCGGTAACCTCAGACTGCCAGGGCCGCCCCCGCTGTCCCATAAATCGGCTTCTTCTCATGTCCTGTCGAGCAAGTGCTCTCCCGGTGAGCTGTTGTTTCCCAACCATTCTGCTCATTTGGAATAAATATTCAATTTCAGCAGCTGGTTTCTGTGATGATTCTGCAGTCCTCCTGGCTGGGCTACAGTAGACACAGGACCGGTTTTCAAAAATTCGGGCCGGGGAAGGTGTTTGTCTTGCATGCAGCCATCCCGGCTTCAATTCTCAGCGATCCCCTAGGGTCCCCTGAGCACCACCAGAAGTCATCCCTGAATGCAGAGCCCTGAGCTTTGCCAGGTGTGGCCCAAAAAAATAATAATTTTTTATTGACGTATAATTGATTTACTGTATTATAGCTTCATCTGCCTTTTGTGTCATTGCGCCACTGCCAACATCCCATCCCTGAGGCCCCTCTGCTCCTTCCTCCCAAGCCACTCCCCCGAACTCAGGAAGCCCCCCCGCTGGTCCCAGAGCAAAGGAATTCGAGTTGTTCCTAGCCAGCCCATTTGCTGTGGGAATTTCTGTCCCCCAGACGTCCAGCAGTGCCAGGACTTCCTGACTAAATAACTTAGACTGTTGTTTCCTGAGTGTGTGGGACTCAAACTCAGTTGCTTACTCCAAAGCATGGCCTGCTTGTCAGCTAACAGTGGTTAGTATTTGCTAAGCTACTGCTGTGTCACACCTGTGTCATACCTTTTTATTCCCTTTTTCTCCTCAGTGGAAAACACTTTAACTCTTTCCACACCACCACCACCCCACTCACCCCCACCCCCCACCTTCCTTCCTTTCTTCCGTTCTCTCTCTTTTTCTCTTTCCTTCTGGTTTTTGGACCACACACACTGTCCTCAGGGATTACTCCTGGTTCTGCGCTCAGGAATTACTCCTGCAGTGCTCGAGCGACCATATGGGGTGCCAGGGATCCAACCTGGGTTGGTGACATGCAAGGCAAACATCCTCCCCTCTGTACTATCACTTCTTCGGGCTTCTTGCTCTCGAACTGCCATCGGGACACAAGGGTCAGCCTTAACATTTCTTTCCCTTTGAGTTTTCAGAATATCACGTCACCATGCTTTCCTAATTTCATCCTCACCAGGACCTGATGAAGCTAATTTCACAGGTGAGGTCAGGAGCGGGGAGGAGACTTGCCCAGAGCTGCACGACATCTGGGGTCTGTCCCTAGAGCCAGCTCTTTTCACGAGAACACATTATCTTCTCTCCTATGTGTCTTTTTTAAAATTTTTTAATTTTTTTGTGTGTTTTGGGCCACACCTGGCAGTGCTCAGGGGTTACTCCTGGCTCTACACTCTGCACACTGCAGGAATTATTCCTGGAAGTGCTCAGGGTACCATATGGAATGCTGGGGATTGAACCCTGGTCAGCTGTGTGTAAGGCAAGCGCCCTCCCCACTGTACTGTTTCTCTAGCCCCCCTCCCAAGTATCTCGATAAGAATCTGGAAGCCGGGGGCTGGAGGATAGCATAGCGGGTAGGGCATTTGCCTTGCAAGCGGCCAACCCAGGTTCGATTCCCAACATTCCATATGGTCCCCTGAGCACCACCAGGAGTGATTCCTGAGTGCAGAGCCAGTCGTAACCCCTGTGCATCACCCAAAAAGGAAAAAAAAAAAATCTGGAAGCCGGAGCCAGCCTGTTCCCATCTCCAGAAGTACTAGGGGACCGTGAGGGCAGGACTTGACTTTTTCTTTTTTGAGTTTGGACCCCACCCAGCAGTGTAGTGCTGGCAGCTGCTCCAGGTCCAGTGCTCGGAGCTCACTTCCAGTAGTGCTCAGGGATTATGCCAGTGCTCCAGTGTGAGGACCACACCTGCCAAGCTCAGCTTTTTGAACCAGCTCCCTGGCCCCGGGCTTGACAATTTTGACTCTTCCACATGAGACTTCCTCGAGGCTGCTGTAGTTTCGCTGTAACTTGGTTCTGTAACTGCAGAGCTCCCTGTGGCCAAGTGTCTGTCACTGGCAGAGCTGGGCCGGGGGGTGGGGGGGGCACTTGGTGCCTCGACTTCTTGTATTTGTTTGTTCACATTTGTATGGGAATATATTTTAAATCTTCCACATATTACTGGATACAGATGTTAAGATATGTATAGCAACAATTTCATAAAACAGTATTCTCATTCTGATTGTTTATATTCTATCCTATTTGTTTTTTTCCCCCACTTTATTTAAACAGCGTGGTTTACAAAGTTATTCATGATGATTTGTTACAGGCATTCAGTGTTCCAACACCAATCCCACCACCACTGTCACCTTCCTCCACTGTTGTCTCCATGTTCCCAACCACCCCCCAAGCCTGCCCCCCCAATGGCAGGCCCATAATTATTTATTTATTTATTTTGCTTTTTGGGTCACACCCAGCAATGCACAGGGATTACTCCTGGCTCTGCACTCAAGAATTACTCCTGGCGGTGCTCAGGGGACCATATGGGATGCTGGGAATCAAACCCGGGTCGGCCGCATGCAAGGCAAACGCCCTACCCACTGTGCTATCACTCCAGCCCCCAATAATTTATTTTATATTGCTTGTTAACCACTGGTTAACAGAATGACCAAAAAATATTTCCATAGAAGAATATTTATGAAAATGTTTGTATTTCATCCTAGAGACATGGAGATAACCCTCCTTGTCTGAAGGTTTACTGAGCTGTAGTTGCAAGTTAAGTCTTCTGTGTTAATGTTCTTGTTAGTATTGGTTCGCTTCTACGTTACATCCCATCCAGTCAGAGCTGCTACTGGGGTGTTGTTATTGTAGAGTTTGGAGATGTCGCTCCAGAAAATCCACAATATTTAACTGAGCTGCCAATATTAGCTGCCCCTCCACCCCCCTCTGAGATCACCCCAGAGGTCTCAGCTGGGAACGGGTGTCTTGAGAGATTTTTGTGGCTACTTGATCTGATTCGAGATTGACTTACGAATCTCTGGAGCAGGGCTGGTAGATGAACTTACACAGGGTGGTGTGGGACATCCTACTTGTGTCTTGTGTGCACGTGGACCTGCCCAGCTCCAAGTCTGCAGACCGATCTTGAAAGCCTCTATAAGACTCCCATTCTCACTTTCTACACGCACCCCAGACTCCTGGCCAAGCCTGTCCCTGCTTGGAATGATTCTGCCCAAACCTGCTGCTTCCTTCCTAGACCCCTCATCTCAGTTCTAGCAGATTGGATTCCCCAGAAATTGCCCACTCTTCTACCTCCATGTGTGAAGCCAACACAAATGCCAAGATGAAGCTCTGAGTGCGACATGTTTATTGTGGGTCAGTGTCTAGGAAAGACCTTTGGCAGCACCTAGTTAGCCCTGGCCTGGGAGTCCCGGCTCTTGATTCCACAGAAGGAGCTCATTAAAATAGACACAGGAATCAGAGTGCAGGGGGTCGGAGCCATAGTACAGCAGGGAGGGCATTTGCCTGGCAAGCTGCCAACCCAGGTTTGATCCCTGGCACCCCCCAGGGTCCCCTGAACACTTCCAGGAGTGATTCCTGAGTGCAGAGCCAGAAGTAAGCCCTGAGCATCACTGGGTGTGGCACCAAAAACAAAAGAATCAGAATGCTCTGGCTGGAGAGAGAGCACTGTAGATCACAGCCTTGCCTTGTACACAGCTGACCCAGATTTGATGCCTGACATTCCCTGTGGTCCCCCAAGGAGTGATCCATGAGCACAGCCAGGTGTGGGCCCCAGCTCCCTACTCCCATAAAACAGAATCAGAGATGGGCATGAGACGAGAGCATTGTCTCTAAGAGCAAGAGGTCAGCATGCAGGCCTGGTCAACATGGAGTGGCCAAGGAATGGGCTAAGTTAATAAGGGATGGAACATGAATGGAGGCTCTGATAAGAGGGAGGAGCAGGATAGGAGGTGGGGAATGTGATTTCCCCCGGTCAAAGTGCCGCCCAGATCCTAATCATATTTGATTGCTTGCGATGTTCACCATGTATGTACCATAATGGAGTCAAGCTCCATTATAAATGAAATATAATCTGACATTCACTTGGCTCTTTCACTTGGTCACTTGGTCTTAGACCTCGTTGCTTTCCCCATAGGTGCCCAGGTTAATCAATTAACTGCATATGGTAGGATGCATATTTTAGGATTTTTGGGAGGAGGGTACAGGGAATCACTGTAAAACTGTATCACTGTTATCCCGTTGTTCATCGATTCACTTGAGCGGGTGCCAGCAACGTCTCCATTCATCCCAGCCCTGAGATTTTAGCAGCTTCTCCTTACTTGTCTTTCCCAATGCTGCCATATTGGAGGCTCTTTCAGGGTCAGGGGAATGAGACCTGTTATTGTTACTGTTTTTGGTATATCGAATACGCCATGGGGAGCTTGCCAGGCTCACTCTCACAGGGAATCAAAATAAATAATTAACCACTGGTAGAAACATGCCAGGCCTCTGGGCATTGTGTGTGGGCTTGCAGCAAAGACCTGGTCAACTGTGGAAAAAGAGCAGAGATGAAAGGGGACCAGCGTTACAGGATAGGTGTACAATGGTGTCTAGTGTCCATGACTGCAGAAGGGAACAACACCATATGTTAATTTGAATGCTAACTCTGCACGACTCTCACTTTTGCATGACACAAAGTTCTGATTCCTTCCCCATCTCAGTTGTAACTGTATTTATAAAAGCTCTGTCCACCCTCAAATGAGAAGGAAGTTTTGGACAGGAGATGTTTTGGGGTAGAGGGAGATGCTGGGAGAAAGGAAGTAGCCAGTGGGCTGGGGAACTCAGAGCCACTGGTGGTAAGGGGGGTATTGATCTGCCATGGAAAGGGTTGAGGGAACAGGTCATGCACCTCTCTCAGTGTCCAGATGTAGCTGCCTTGGGGAGCACATAGCCATGGGCAATCTGGAACCCACCAGAGGGTCTGACAGCTAGACAAGGGGTGCGGTCATACCCCATGCACTGCAGCCTGGCCTTCCTTGAGGGGCCAGGCTGCACATTTCCATGTCTGCCACACGTCACACCCTTATGGAAATCTGAGGTTCCTGCCAACGAGCCTTCCTACTGTGGGCCAGCTCCACCTAGACTGTGGGAATGTCTCATGGACACCGGTCATCCTCAATGTACCAGCTCTGTGTACCTTACAAAGGGCTGACTGACCAGGTCATTCACCAAGTTGTGACAGCTTCAGGGATCTGTCCATGGGAATGAGACCAAGGTGCTAGAAATTGGTTGCTCTAGAGGCTACCCCCAGTGCTGCTGGGAATCGAACCTGGGTTGGCCGTGTGCAAGGCACGAGCCCTATCTGCTGTACGAGCTCAGAGCCCAGTTCCAGAGATTCTGAACTCGGGTTTCCACCATCACTAGAAGCAAGGAGGGGAGTGAGGGCCACAGGCTGGAGGGATGAGGGGGTTGGGAAAGGCCCCAAGTTACCCAGATGCTGAGCAGAGCCCAGTGGAAGGAAAGGGCCTGGGGAGAAATGGCCGCTCCCTCCAGCATCTCCCACATCAAGGGGGTGGCGGGGGGCCCCTTCCCAGCCCGGCAGGCAGCAAAGCTTTTTTTTGGAGTCAGGTGCTTATCCAAAATGTCGGTTGGTAACTCAGTGAAAGCTCGGAGTTGCCCACCTTGTAGGTCCTTCTGCCGACTTCATGAGCTTTCTGGACTTACCTTGTGTCTCTCACCCAGTGTCAAAATGTGGTTGGTTCTCAGGGAAGAGCATCTCAAGTGATGCCCAACCAGGGGTCTTGTTGAGTCAATGTGCAACTGAAGGCATGTGTTACAAGTATTTTTGTTGCATTATATATAGATTTGTTTTAGGATTTTTTTTGGGGGGGGGGGTGCAGGGGAATCAAAGCCAGAGCTCCACATGTCTAAGAGGGATACTCTGCTGTTACAAATTTTTGTTTTAGTTTTGGGTTTTGGTAGTTTTTTGGGTTGTGTTTTAGACCACACCTGGCAATGCTCAGGGGTTGGTTTCTCCTGGCAGTGTTTGTGGGACCACATGGGATGCTGGGGATCTAACCTGGGTTAGACACATGCAAGGCAGATGTGCAAGGCCCTATCCATTGTACTATCTCGCTAACTCTAGTTTGGGATCATACCTGGCAACAATCAGGAATCACTCCTGATGGTGCTCTGGTGAACATATGCAGTGCCAGAGACTGAACTTGTTTCAGTCTGCAAGATGCCAGATAAGTACCTTACCTGCTGTACTGTCTCTCTGATTCCTGTATATATGGATTTCTAAGTGATAGGAGTATTAGCTTCAGAACTTTATGTCTGAAAAGAGACTTCTGAAGTCATTCACTATTATATTTTTTCATGTGCTTTTTTGAAGGGGTGGGGCCCACATCTGGCAGCTTAGGGCTTTCTTCTGCCTCTGTACTGCCTCACTCCTGGAAGGTCTCAGGGAACCATATGTGGTGACCGGAATCAATCCTGGGCGGCCACATGCAAGGAAAGTGCCCTTCCCACTGTACTATCTCCCCAGCCTCTTGTATGCAGCTAGATTTCCACTGTTGTATTACATTCTAATTGGATTTTGGTTTTTATATACTTGATTTAAATTGTATAACATGGGGATGGGAGCATTGGTACAGCTGGTTCTTGCCTTGCAAGTGACTGACCCAGGTTCAATCTCCAACACCTCATATGGTTTCCTAAGTATCACCAGGAGTGATCCCTAAACACAGAGCCAGGAGTAAGCCCTGAGCATCACTAGGTATTCCCCTAGAACCCCATCAAGCAAGAAAATTATATGCCATGGCATGTGAAAGTCATTTTGAAATTTTAAAGAGAATGGCAATAAATTTTGAAAAATGAGAAAATTACAACTAAATGCAACGTATGATGCCAGGTTGGATCCTGGTCCAGAAAAAAATACACAAAGGCCTCAACTACCAGAAATTAAAGAGTGTCTGAAAATGAAGTCATAGTATTGTACTAAAGTTACCATCCTAGGGTTTTTTTGTTTGTTTGTTTGTTTGTTTTGGGGTCACACTGGAGGTACTCAGTTCACTCTTAGCTCTGTGCTTGGGAATCAGTCCTGGAGGGCTTGGGGGACCATATGGGATGATGGCTCAACCCTGTGTAAGGAAACCACCCTCACCACTGTGCTGTCACTGGCCCCATGCTGCTTCCTCCAGGCTTGGGGAAGCTGAGTAGAGCGTATCCAGGAAGTCTCAGCACTATTTCTGCAATATTTTTGTAAGTCTGCAGCAATTTCAAAATACCTATTTTCAAAGATTCAGCCCCTTTTACAAGGTTTGTAATATGAGTGGAGTAAATGGCTACCAGAGAGCCACTCACTCCAGCAAAATGACACAGTGCGGGCCTCTGAGCCCACAAATCGCAAGAAGAAAAATAAGGGCGGCTGGGAGCTGGCTCGGCGGGCTGACTTTGCAGGCCAGAGTCTTGAGTCTGCTCCTGGTCCCTCAAGCACCACCCCCTCAGCCCTCAAGGAAAAAAAAAAAGAAAATCCACAGGGGCTCTGGATGTGGTTTAGTGGTAGAGCCTTGTCCCTTGTCCCGTGTCCACATGCCTTAGCTGCCCGAGGCCCCGGGTTCCACACCAGCACTGCGAATCAAGAAAAACACCACAGACCTTTCTCTCAAGCCATTTAAGCAGTAGCAAATTCTCTAGAGGCACAGTGTAGACATCAATGCTGACAGGGAAAGTCCCAGAGACATTTTAGCTGAAGAGACTGAAAATGATCATATGATTATGTCCACTTCAAGTCTATGTGTTGTGCTATAACAGAAATAGTTGAGTTACATTTGAAATCAATCACAGACAGGGCAAAGAAATAGCTGAGGCGTCCCACCCCCACCCCCGCCCCCAGCCTCCCCTGTCAGAGCCAGGGAAGCAGTGGTATCCGATTTGTCAGGAAATGGCCAGCCTGGGTAGACAGTAAATAGTAACATTGGACTTGAGTCTTGCCAGCACTTACCTGCTTTTCCACCCTGAGCCCCAGAGTCTGTCTGAGTAGATTCAGTTTCACCTCAGGGGACAAGTGAGCAAGCATCAGAAGTGCCATCTTGCTTCCAGAAAGGCCTCCCACTCCCCTGCCCACAACCAGAGTTTATTCTGACTTTCCCACCAACTCTTCGTGAATCTTTAGCCCCAAGCCCAGAGGTTGGGTCATGTTAGGACAAGAACTCCACCCCCTTCTCAGGGTGCTCGTGCCTGAAGAAAAACTCTTCTTCCACCAACCCTTGTCTCTAGAGTAGCTGGCACTTGAGTGGGCAAGCCCAAAGTCCTGGGGACAGAAGTGAGACTTGGGACAGTAGGACTGGGAGGAGTTCAGAAGTGAAGTTGGGCTTGATCAATGTCACACATCACAGAGTCTGCAGGACCAATGTCAAAGCACATTGCAGTACGTCTGAAGGACCAGTCAGTGTCAGGGCACGTCACACAATATCTGAGAGACTAGTGTCACAGCATATCACACAGCATTTGAGGGACCAGTGTCAGGGCACGTCACAGGGTCTGCTGGGCTTCACAGGAAGCAGCTGGAGGCTGTCCAGTTATGATACTGAAAAGCCCCTAAGTGTTTGTCCTCTTCTGTGCCCTGGTCAGTGCTCCGGGTCACATGGCCAAGCATCTCCTGGGGGCCCGTGGCTCTGCGTTCACTTTCTTCCGGATGTTTTCTGCCAAAGACGACGGGAAGTGTCACTCCGTGCCCAGGGTCTGGCCACACAAGGCCATATTCTGACTGTCTTCCAGAGCGTGTACTGAAAGGAGACACAGTAATTGCTGTACTATATCTCTGGCCCCATAGCTCGTGTGTGTGTGTGTGTGTGTACTTGAGTGTGTGTATGAGTGTGAGTGTGTGATTGTCTAAGTTTGTGTGTATATGAGATTATGAGTGTGTGTCATTGTGTGTCTAAGTGTGTAAGTGTGTGAGGGTGTATATGAGTGTGAGTGTGTGTATGTGTGAATGTGTGTATGTCTGAGTGTGTATATGAGTATTGTGAATGTGTGTGTATATGTGTGAGTGTGTGTATGTCTGAGTGTGTATATATGAGTATTGTGAGTGTGTGCGTGTGTGTGTGTGTGTGCATGCACTGGGGGTCAGACCCAAGGACTCAGACACGCAAACCACTGAGCATTGTCCCCAGCCCCCAAACAAGCAGCTGCTCCTCTCCTCTTCCTTGGAGGACCGGTTCTCCCGTGTGAGCAATTTGAGAAAAGAAACGATTCAGGCTGCCATAGGCTTGTAGCATCTGGGCAGTGGCAGAGCAGTTTGTGAGCACAGGTGACACCTTGGTTCAGTCCTCGGTACTGTGCTGTGGTCCGGCTGGCCCCTGAGACTGGTGGCCCCAGCACTGCCAAGATTCCCCAGGCCCTCGTGGACACAGTCCCTAGTCAAAATTAAACATTCAGGGCCACGGCAATAGTATAGAGGGGAAGATGCCTGACTGAGTTCAATGTGGCCAACCTCAGTTCAATCCCCAGCATCCTGTATGACCCCATGAACCCACCAGGAGTGATTCTTGAGTGCAGAGCCAGGAGTATCACTGGATGTGCCCCACACACAAAAAAATAAATAAAAATAAATCTATCCGATTCGTCTCCGCATGAACCAGCCATTTAGTCTTCCTTGTTGTCACCAGAGATGGGACTCCCAAGCCTCACACTGAGTTTTACCTCTGACCTGCACCCCCCAGTCTCTGGCCTATCCTGGTGCTGGTGAAAAAAGTCAGCAGACAGTTCTAGCCTTATTCCAAGCTAGAGGGGTTTAAAAAAAAATGAAAACATAATGGAGAGAGTAAGAAATGCTGGGCTCCGTGGCTTTGGGCCTGAAAGATCAGGGGTCATCAGGGCCCACCAGATGGCAAAGGCCAAGGCCACAGGGCACGGTCATTTGGCCAGGGCTGCAAGGAAGGAATTTGGAGGGTCTGGAGCCAACACCAGAGCAAAGGGGTCTGAGGGCATTTGGAGGGTCCTGTATTCCAGAGGGGGCCACAAAGACCTGGGGCCGGGGACTTGCTTACCTGCCAGCTCCTTCCTGCCAATGGCCATAAGGCCTTCGAACAGCGCTTTGCAGGGGTTCTCGTTGGCGGTGCTCACCCCGTGCAGCCAGATGAGCAGCATCCGGTGGCCATGCTCATGGTAGCTCTTGGTGCCTGTGGATGACGCAGGGAGAGAGGGAGAGAGGAGGCGCCCACCCAGCTGACACCAGTTTGGCCAAACCACATGCAGGAGCTACTCACACCTGCCTGGAGGAGCCTCAGGTGAGGAGGAGATGCGGGTGCCCAAAATGATAAATTGTTTTAAGAAGACAAAGTCACCGTTCACACAAGAAATATATTTTTAAGGGAGGAATAATGGGCCAGAGAGATAATACAACATGGAGGGCTCTTGCCTTGCACATGACTGACCTGGGTTCGATCCCCGGCATCCCATATGGTCCCTCATGCACTGCCAGGAGAGATTCCTGACTGCAGAGCCAGGAGTGACTCCTGAGCACGGCCAGGTGTGTGTATGTGTAGGATGAGGGAAAGCAAGGGAACAGACGAAAGTAATCCAACTCTCAACCCAACCATGATGTTTGCATATCTTACATTTAGTCATTTCACTGATTGTTTTATCCTCAGAGTTTTCAAGTTTATTCTTCTGGACTTCTTTTATTTAAATGTAGCACTGTAGCACTGTCCTCCTGTTGTTCATCAATTTGCTCGAGTGGGCCCAGTAACGTCTCCATTGTGAGACTTGTTGTTACTGTGTTTGGCATATTGAATACGTCACGGGGAGCTTGCCAGGCTTTGCCGTGCAGGCGAGATACTCTCGGTAGTTCTCCGAGAGGAGCAGAGGAATCGAACCCAGGTCAGCCGGGTTGGCCACATGCAAGGCAAACGCCCTACCCTACCCGCTGTGCTATCACTCCAGCCCTATTTAAATGTAAATCTGTCATTTACAAATTTCTCCGTGTGTGTGTGTGTGTGTGTGTGTGTGTGTGTGTGTGTGTGTGTGTGTGTTGGGGCCCCCGACAGTGCTTACTCCTGACTGCACTCAGGAACTACTCCTGGTGGGCTCGGGTGACCATATGGAGTGCCAGAAATCAAATCCAGATCGGCTGCCTACAGGGCAAGCGCCCTCCCCTCTGTACTACCTCTCCAGCCCTTTTTCTAAATATTTACTCTGTTTCTGTTTCTGTGTCCTGCCTTCATAAGGGGCCAGGGATGTTCTCAAGGGATGTTAGGCTGGCTCCAGCTGCCCCACTTTCCCAGGAGTGCTTTGGGCTTAGTTTGTTTAAGCGGTCACTGACTTCACTAAGGATTCAAGTTCAAGGGCCACGGGAGGGCTGGGGAGCACATAGCGGACACAGAGGCCTGGAAGCATCAAGTGTGTATGGGCGGTGGTGGGGGTGGTGTGGGGCAGGGGACCACACAAGCTTTATTCCCTGAAGCACAGAAATCTAAGCATCCCTCCTGGGCCCCGACCCCCTGCCACCAGCGGTACCTGTCCACTGCTGCTCAATGGCATGAATCTGGGGCTCCGTGAACCCCCACCAGTCCGCAAGCTGCTTCCATTCGTTTGGCTGTAGGTGTTTGGAGGCCAGCTGCCACAGCACAAAGCGAAGCGGGCGCATTTCCGGCCGAAAGTCTGACTTAAAGGTCACAGTCTTCTCAGCGGGGTCGGCAGGGTCCTTGCACGAGAGGCGATCCTGGGGGGCAGATCCCCAAAGTAGGGAAGCTGTGGAGGGTCTGGGGCTTTGTTACTACCCGGATTTATTATTATTATTTCTTTCTTTTTTGTTTTTGGCCCGGGCTGGAGCGATAGCACAGCAGGTAGGGTGTTTGCCTTGCACGCAGCCGAGTCGAGTTCGATTCCTCCGCCCCTCTCGGAGAGCCCGGCAAGGTACTGAGAGTATCTCGCCTGCATGGCAAAGCCTGACAAGCTACCCGTGACACATTCGATATGCCAAACACAGTAACAAGTCTCACAATGGAGACGTTACTAGGCCCACTCGAGCAAATCGCTGAACAACAGGAGGACAGTGCAGTGCAGTGCAGTTTTTGGCCCACACCTGGCTGAGCTCAGGGTGATTCCTGGCTCTGCACATAGAGATCATTCCTAGCAGTGCCTGGAGAATCATATGGGGTGCTGGAGATTGAACCCAGCTTGGCCACATGTAAGGCAAGAGCCTGACCCACTATGCTATCTCTCCAGCTGGGTTTCTTTTCCTTTTTTTTTTTTTTTTTTTTTTTGCTTTTTGGGTCACACCCGGCAATGCACAGGGTTTACTCCTGGCTCTGCACTCAGGAATTACCCCTGGCAGTGCTCAGGGGACCATATGGGATGCTGCGAATCAAACCCGGGTCAGCCGCATGCAAGGCAAACGTCCTACCCTCTGTGCTATGGCTCCAGCCCCTCTTCCTTTTCTTTCTTTTCTTTTTTTTCTGTATGGGGGCCACACCTGGCAATGCTCAGGGGTTACTCCTGAGTCTGCTCCAGAATAACTCCTGGAGGGGCTCAGCAAGCCATATGGGACCTAGGATCGCACTGGGTGGGCCGTGTGCAAGGCAAACACCCTACCCACTGTACTATCACTCCAGCCCATCCACCCGGGTTCCCAACCCTCTGACCTGCTTGGCTGAAATAGGAGCTGTTCGCCCCAAGATTCCTTTTCTTTCTTCCCTGTGCATCCAGCCTCTTGCCACCCCCAGAGCCCCCGTCCCAGGGAGCCGTGGAAGCTCTCCTCCTTCTGTGACCAGATGGTGGAAATCAGAATGACCCTTCAGCTGTGGTTCCAAGCAGGCAGGCTGGACACCAGACCAGGCTCACAGACCCAGCTCCTGTGAGGTCTGCTGGCAGGATTTTTTCTGCCCAAAGCAAGTTGCAAGTGGTGAGGCGCTAAAGCACTGTCCACTGTACTGATGAAACCCATCCAGGCCCACAAGCCCCTGGGAGGGATGCAGAGTGTTGGCCATTACTGAGCGCGAGGTGAGGGTAAAGCCAGGAGGAAGATAAGGGTTAAGGCCTTTGCCCTACATGCAGCTGATCCCGGTTCAATCCCCAGCACCACACATGATTTCCCAAGCGCCACCAGGAGTGATCCCTGAGTATGACCATGTCCAGTCGGTCCTGTGTATGAAAGCCTAACGGGCTGACTTTCATCTGGGGCAGAAAAACCAGATCTCGAGTCATTGAATGAGCTCAAGGGGCACAGCACATGCCAGCATGGACAGGCCCCGTGTTTAGTCCCCAGCTCTGCAGAGCCCCCGAGCACTGTGGTTTCAGAGTCCCCAGAGGTCCCCAGCACAAAGCATCAGGCCACAAATGACCTACTCCCAGCACCTCTGGCATTGGTCCCTACTTGGGAGGTGGGGCAGGACCACATCCAGCACTGTTGGGGACTACTACTGGTTTTGCACTCAGGGGTCATTTGAGGGGCATTCCTATTCTTAAAAAAATCAGTGCTGGAGAGAGTATGGTGCATAGGGTACTTGCCTTGCACACAGCTGACCCCAAATTTAATCTCCAGCAACACATATGGTCCCCCAGCACCACTAGGAATGATCTATGAACACAGAGCCAGGAGTAAGCCCTGAGCACCACCAGGTATGACTCAACCCACACACATTACCAAAAGTTCTCTAGAATAGTGCCGTCTGTTCTTTGATTTTTTTTTTTTTTGCAGCGAGGGGCGGTTTGTTTGTTTTGGGGGAGCTTACTCTTTTTTTTTTTTATTAGTGAAACACCATGAGGTACAGTTGTAGATTTACTATTTTTTTGTGCTTGGGTTTTGATTATACAATGATCAGATACCCATCCCTCCACCAGTGCCCATTTTCCACCACCATGGATAATATCCCCCCACCCCCATCCCCCCATCCCCCCCTGTCTCTGTGGCAGGGCAATCCCCTGTGTTCTCTCTCTCCTTTTGGGTGTTGTGGTCTGCAAAAGAGGCATTGAGTGGCAAACATGTTCAGTCCATAGTCTACTTTCGACATGCATCTCCCCTCCTGGGAGGATCCTCCAAACACCCTTTATTTGGTGCTGGGGGAGCTTACTCTTTACTCTGTTCAAGAATCACTCCTGAGCTCATTTCTTCCTGTATTTTCTCGATTGTACGATCGATTGTTTCTTTCATGTCCTCTTTCAATTTAGTGGATATCTGTCTGACTGTTTCAAAAAATTAGAAATTGAGCTCCCATTTGACCCAGCAATACCACTCCTGGGAATTTATTCCAGAGAGGCAAAAAAGTATAGTCGAAGTGACATCTGCACTTGTTTGTTCATTGCAGCACTCTTTACAATAGCCAGAATCTGGAAAAAACCTGAGTGCCCGAGAACAGACGACTGGTTAAAGAAACTTTGGTACATCTACACAATGGACTACTATGTAGCTGTTAGAAAAGACGAAATCATGAAATTTACATACAAGTGGTACTACATGGAAAGTATCATGTTAAGCGAAATGACTCAGAAAGAAAGGGATAGACATAGAAAGATTGCATTCATCTGGGAAACATAAAGTAACAAAATAGGAGACTAACACTCAAGAATGGCCGAGATTAGTACCAAGAGTTTTGCTCCATGGTTTGGAGGCCAGCCACACATGCTAGGGGAAAAGGGAGCTCAGATAGAGAAGGGAGCACCAAATAAAGGTGTTGGGAGGATCCTTCCAGGATGGGAGAAGCATGCTGAAAGTAGACTATAGACCAGACATTATATTGTCACCCATTGCCTCTTTTGCAAACCACAACACCCAATAAGAGAGAACAGAGGGGAATGCCCTGCCACAGAGGCAAGATGGGATGGGGGGATGGGGGCTGGGAGGGATGCTGGGATCCGTGGTGGTGGGAAGTGGGCACTGGTGGAGGGATGGGCGTTTGATCATTGTGTAATTGAAACCCAAGCACAAAAATCTGTAAGTCTACAACTGTACCTCATATGTCTCACTAATAAAAATAAAATAAAATAAAATAAAAAAGAATCATTCCTGGCGTGCTCAGGAAACCACTTAGGATGCTGGGGACCGATCCCAGGTAGGCCGCATGCAAGGCAAGTGTCCTATCTGCTGTACTATCGCTCCAGCCCCTGTACTTTGAGAAAAGTACGAAAGCACCTGACAACATCAAGTTCTTACAGTTCTAAGAACCCAGAGGGCTAGAGAGGAAGGGCTGAGTGCCCAGGCTGGAGTCCCTCTGTAATTGAACCAGAAGCAGCTCCTGAGGACCTTGGAGTGTGACCCTAAAACTAAATAAACAGCATTGAAGACACTGAAAAAAATCTTTTCACCTGCCCCCCACATCTGGGTTAGTGAAGCTGCCTCTGGGCTGCCTGGATCTGCCGGCCTACAGCAGACATCACCAGTCGATCCCAGCACCCTTTCTTGCTGGGCTCTCAGGCTCTTAGGGAGTCGCCTGAACACAGCAAACCTGGAGATATGAGCAGAGAGCTGAGCCCCCTGGCCGTCTCTCTGGTGGTCGCACCTGGTGGTACTGAAGGGAGATTGTGCGGTGCCAGGGATGGAACCAGGGGATCCTCCGTGCAGAGTACACACTCCCGTCCTTTGTGCCCTCTCATCCACCTCGTGCCATCTCTACTCATACCTGCGCACACTTGTTCATCACTCAGGAGCGACAAAAGCGTCCTAATCTCCACACGACCTGATCTCCCTCACTCGGCTGATTCAGTGTACTTTGCCAGACTTTCAATCTGGTTTTGTTTTGGAAGGGGGGGGCAGTGCTCAGGGCTTGCTCTTGGCTCTGTGTTCAGGGATCACCCAGAGGTGCTCTGAAGATCGTATGTGGTGATGGGGTGGGAACCGGGGTTGGCTTAGGTTGACAAAGCCAGTGCCTGAGGGTCTGTGTGTTCATTGGGCCCCGGATGCAGTGTGTTTGGACAGTACCATCTCCAGGTTGCCACACCCTTCTGGAAGCTGAGGCCAGGACTGGGGTTTAGAGCAAGCTCTGCCTGGAGCCAAGTGCTCCCCATCCCCCCCCCACACACACACACAGGGGGTCTGAGTGCCATACCTGTTCCCGCCTGTAGAATCGTTCAGCTTTGATGATCATGTCCACCAGGCTGACGTGGTTGCTGCGAGCGGCCGCAGCCAGGGCAGTCTTCCCTTGCTACGAGAAGAGAAATCAAGTTTCTACGGGGCCATCGAGGGCATCCAACACCGACCAAACCCTCCCACCCAGAGAAAGTGGTTTCCAGCTGTCTAAACTGGGGAACAACAGACTTGCGGGGGGCAGGGGGACTGGGGGAGGCTCAATGAGGGATGTGGAAAAGTCCAACAGAATAAGGCAGTCATCATCACCTTCTCCCATCCTTCCTCTCTCCCTTCCGCCCTTCTTTCCTCTCCTTCTTCCCCTCCTCCTTCTGTTTTGCTTTTGGGCCACACCCGGTGATGCTCAGGGCTTACTCCTGGCTCTGCACTCAGGAATCACTCCTGGTGGTGCTCAAGGGACCACATGGGATGCTGGGAATCAAACCTGGGTTGGCCGCGTGCAAGGCAAACGCCCTACTGGCTGTGCTATTGCTCCAGCCCCTGCTTCTTTACCATTGAAGAAGTGGGGCCTACATGACCAGAGAGAGGTTAGAGGGCTCGTCTTGCACTCAACTGAGCCAGGTTCAATCTCCAGCATGCCAGAGGGTCCCCCGAACCCCATCCCTGAGGGTCGTGAACACTGTCAGGGTTGGCCCAAAACAAACAAACAAACAAAAAAAGCAATTGAGAAAGCCGCTTAGAGCTGATGGGAAGTACAGGAGGGAAGGCGCTCACCTTGAATGTGGTCAACCCCGGCTTCATCCCCAGCACCACCAGCAATGAGCCCTGAGCACAGAGCCAGGAGTAGCCGCCCCCCCCACCATCCAGTGTGGGATCAAACCCCTCCCCCCAGAACAAGAAACTCCAGCAGTGGCCCTAGGACTCAGCTTACAGCAAAGAAGCCACCCAGCACTAGCCTCTAGGTCTGTTCCCTGCACCTTAAATCTTCTCCACCCACTCCCCATGGCTGGTCTTGCTGAGTCCTGCGGACAGGTACCAGCCAGGACTCCCTCAGCAGCACCCGCAGCCTTCACTCCTTCAGCCCAAGGAGGAGACTCACTAAGAAACTGCACAGGGCAGGATGCAACCGAGCTTCTTCCCCATGGAGGGGGCCAGGGAGTGAGGGACTCTCTCTCCAACTGACCCGCCAAGTGACAGGCTCAAAGTTTGCTAAAGATCATGAAACCCAACAGCCATCATAGGAAAGGCCTCGTAGGAGGCAGGGAAGGTGGTGGAAGGCTAGGAAGACTTCCTGGAGGTGGTGACCTTTGTGCTGACTGATGAAAGACAGAGGGGGCTTGAATACTTTGAGAGCAGGAGACATTTGCAACAGGTCTTTGGTCTTGGCAACACGGGAGCCCAGGAAGCTCCAACAGGAGTTTACATAGGAGTAGAGGTACCTTATCTCGCAGGTCTAAGTCCACTCCAGCGAGGAGGAGCATCTCCGCGATATCGTGCCTGGCGTGTTCCACAGCAACATGGAGGGGCGTCTGCTGCCTCTGGGAAGGGGGCATAAGGTGGCAGAAAACCATTGCAGGGTGTCCTGTGGGACTCAGAGCCAAGGCAGAATCAAGGCAGGACTTAACAAAGTTTCTCTGAAAGTTATGGGAGACAGACACTGGGCTTAATCAGCACTCGGCAGGGGGAAAAAATGATAAAAGGAAAGCAAAAGAGGACTGAGCACAGCAGGGGCCGGAGCCAACGCACAGTGGGGAGGGCACTGGGTTTGATCCCCAGCACCTGCTGTGGTGCCCTGAGCCCACCAGGAGTGATTCCTGAGTGCAGAGTAAGGAGTAAACCCCGGACACCACAAGGCGTGGCCCCCAAACCAAAAAAAGAACAAAAGCAATGTTCAGTAAGTAACTTTCTGCTCCCTGATCCAATTCACTCGAACCACACATGGACCAGGACACAATGCCCTGCTCTTCACCTTCCTAGTTTCATCTCTCAAATGGAAAAACTGATGCTCAGGAAACTTAAGACGTGTGGCTGCGGCCTCTTGTGTGGACTGCTGTGCCCTAGACCCCAGACCAAGGCCTGGTCATTGTTCACGAACGAACAGGGATAAACTGGCCCAAACAGGAATAGCACACTGAGTCCAAGTCCTGCCCTTGTGGAATTGGAGGTCCCTGGAGGTGGACCTGGCCAGGGCCATCTCAGCAGCGCCCTCTAGGGGTCTCCGCAACACATGACAGGACAGTTACCACTGTATCACTGTATCACTGTCATCCCAGTTGTTCATCGATTAATCCAGAGGGTGCCAGTAACGTTTCCATTCGTACCAGCCCTGAGATTTTAGCAGTCTCTCCTTACTCGTCCTTCCCAACGATTGGAGGCTCTTTCAGGGTCAGGGGAACGAGACCTGTTATTGTTACTGTTTTTGGCATATTGAATACGCCACAGGGAGCTTGCCAGGCTCTGCTGTGAGGGCGGAATACTCTCAGTAGCTTGCCAGGCTCTCCGAGTGATATATATATATATGTATATATATACATATATATATACATATATATACATATATATGTATATATATCCTTCTTATATACAGTGCAAAGCCATAAAACTGCTCTGGATCCTTACTTCTTACAGAGAAGCTACCTCACAGGCGTGGCCCCCAAAACCAGGGAAAGAAAACCAGAGCAGATAATCCCTGCGGGAGGAAGCATGGGCAGGGTCTCTAGTCCTGAGCCACTAGAAAGGGACTTCTAGTGGCTTCTAGCTTCCTGGACTTCTAGCTTCCCGGACCTCTCCAGCCCCACCCCACCCCAGAACCCCAAAGCTCCGGTATCACCCAGCTGCCCCACCCAGGTCCCACACTCACGTGATCAGCCAGGTTGGTGCAGGCTCCCGCCTGGATGAGGGCACGGACCACGTCTTTGGAGCCGCAAAGGGCTGCGTAGTGGAGGCAGCTGCACTGCTTCTAGAAGAGCGGAGATGGCAGCGCCAGGCCTGAGGACCCATCCACAGGCTTGCAAAGCTCTTGGGCCTCGATCACCCCATGGGCACCCCAGTGGCTACCATCCCTGTGCAGCCTGAGGCTGGAGAAGTCAGTGACCATCCAGCCTGCAGGGACCTGTCCCCGCTGTGGGCCAATGGCTGGGCTCCCTGGAATAGACTCAAAGGTTTGCAGACACTGGCAGACTCAGCCACAGGCAACCCACTTGGCATGCAGGAGCAGAGGGTTTGGGGACCCAAGAGTCCCCAGCAATGCTGGGAGGCTGCTTCCCCTTGGGGCGCTGCTGTCCCCGCCTGGCCTGGGGAAGGTTGCCACGGGACCAGAGCTGTTCTGAAAAGTCAGGCTTAAATGGCATCGTGCACATTCAGAAGGGTTCGGCCTTGACAGGGTTCTACATTTCACGTCCATTTGCCATTTTGCTATTCATTTTCTCTGTCTCTGACTCTTTGTTGCTCCGATTCTCTCTCTTTTTTTTCTTTTTGGGTCATATCCGGCAATGTTCAGGGGTTACTCCTGGCTTTGCACTCAGGAATTCCTCCTGGCAGTGCTTGGGGGACCAGATGACATGCTGAGGATGGGTCAACGGCATGCAAGGCAAATGCCCTACCCGTTGTGCTATCGCTCCAGCCTTCTGATTTTCTTTGACTAGTACCTTTGTATTAAACATGTGATGGGTTTTATTTTTTACTGGGGGGGGGGGGGGGGAGAGGGTCTTATAACTGTATAACTTTTATTTATTTATTTATTTATTGCTTTTTGGATCACACCCGGCAATGCACAGGTGTTACTCCTGGCTCAGCTCTCAGGAATTATTCCTGGTGGTGCTCAGGGGACCATCTGGGATGCTGGGAACCAAACCCGGGTTGGCCGCATGTAAGGCAAATGCCCTACCCGCTGTGCTATCGCTCCAGCCCCTGGGTCTTATAACTTTCATTCCCCCTTCTGAACTCTAATTTGATATTAATTGTATTTTATTATTTATTGTTCTTTTTGGCTATAATATTCAGATTTCTGAATCCCAGAAAGAGAATGAAAATATAAAGTCACAAAGGGCACTGGAACTGCAGCCCTGTGTGGAGGCTAGGCAAGGCGCCAGCTCCCATCCCTGACCCCTTGTGCCCCCAGCAGTCACCATAGCAACAGTGAAACACTGAGCTCGGCCTGAAGTATGCTCCGGGCCTGACCAGCACCTGGAGACGGTCCCAAGGCCATGGAAGGGGATTGTAGTGAAGGACGGAAGTGGCGGGGCCCACGCAGGCCTTGCTCTGTGCCCAGCGAGGTCTCCCACGAGGATTCAGGCAGCAGTGTCTCAATGGCTACAGTCCTCAGCTCTGCGTGTACCAGCCCCATGTTTTACTGGGAAATAAGACTCAGAGAAGGGAGGCAGAGACCAGAAAGAAGGGACAGGGATTAAGGCTTTTGCTTAGCACACAGGTGACCCTGCTTTGAGTCTCAGCACCTCAAGTGGTCTCCAGAGCCAGGAGTGAGCCCCGAGCACAGAGCCAAGAGTGATCCCCAAGCACAGAGCCAGGAGTGACCCTCGAGCACAGAGCCAGGAACAGCCCCTGAGCACTGCTAGGACTGGTCAATACAGATGGAGAGAAGAGGTAAGTGGCTTTCCCGGCTCAGAGTTCAACAGTGGGGGACCCAGAACCCAGGGGAGCTGCCCCACTGCCTCAGTTCCCGCCACACCCCGAGTCAGCCTGGCACCCCTGGGGCAGCATGAATGGACAGGGGCTACCTGAGTGAGGGCGTTGGCGCTGCTCCCCGCGCGGAGAAGGAGACGCACGCACAGCAGATGCACCCCTTCCACGGCCATGTGCAGGGCTGTCATGCCATCCTGAAACGGGCGGGCGTAAGCCAGGGATTCCTGAGCCCCCTGAATCTCTCTTCGGGGGTCACGTGCTACCATCAGCCACACTCCAGGCTCTCTTCGCCCCCCAAGCCCCTGACCCCCTGCTCTGTCTGTCCTCAACTCCTTTATACAAGCCCCACGTGGGGAATTGCAGCCAACCACCAACACCCCCCCCACCCCACCCCAGCCCCCAGCCTTGGGATGACCACGGAGCTTCCGTGTCCTGGGGCTGTGCTTCACCGGCACCTCCTGCCTCCCTCCCCCCTCCCCCCGCCCCCGCTGCCCACTCACCTGATTACACTCCTCCAGCCCCAGCCCAAGGTTCACAAGTCTCTGCACCACAGCCGTGTGGCCCCGGCCGGCAGCCAGGTGCAGGGCCGTATTCCCCTCCTGCAGGGACAGGGAGGAAAGGACCACAGGCCCCAGGCACTCGCATGCGCCACCTGAACTGAGGTCAGGGAAACAGGTACAGGGTGGCACTCTCTGTCTCTGTCTCTGTCTCTATCTCTCTGTCTCTGTCTCTCGGTCTCTGTCTCTCATCTTTCTGTGCATCTCTCTCTGTCTCTCTGTCTGTCTGTCTTTCTCTCTGTCTCTGTCTCTCATCTTTCTGTCTGTCTCTCTGTCTGTCTCTTTGTGTCTCTCTGTGTCTCTCTGTGTCTGTCTCTGTCTGTGTCTCTGTCTCTGTCTCTCTCTCTCTCTTTTCTTTTGGGGCCATACCTGGCGATGCTCAGTTGTTACTCCTGGTTCTGCATTCTGTGATCGCTCTTGGCAGTGCTCAGGGGACCATATGGGATGCCGGGAATCACACCTGGGTTAGCCATGTGCGCAAGGCAAGAGCCCTTCCTGCTTTGCTATCGCTCCAGTCCCTCATTTTATTTTGTTTTCATGGTGATGCCAAGACTCTAACCCTCACACAGAACTCTAACCCAGGACTTCACAACAGTGCTCTGCGGCCCAGTCTCTCCTACTTTAAAATAAAGGATATTTCTTTTGTTTGTTTGTTTGTTTGTTTGTTTAGGGGGCCACACCCAGCAGTGATCAGGGTTGACTCCTGGCTCTGCACTCAGGGATCCTACTGGAGGGGCTTGGGGGAGTGTATGTGGTACCAGCGATCAAACACGGGTGGGCTGTGTATAAGGCAAGTGCCTCCCCGCTGTCCTATGGTTTCGGCCCAGGATGAACGTTACTTCTAAGAGGAAAAGTGAAAAGGAGAAGCTCCCTCTGCATGCTCCTGCCTGCAGCCGCTCCAGACTCCTGTGACTCTGGCTCCGACAGCTTGGCTCTGTCAGTGAAGCAGCTTCTCACAGACAAGGAGGCCCAGCCCAGGGGCCCGTGAAGGTGAAAACTCTGCCGACAACCTGGTGCTGCTCCAAACCACCAACCACCTAACAAACAACTGCCACTCTGCCGATCAGCCATCTAGCTGCCAGATGTCCAGCCACAAGACAGGCACCTTTTGGAGCCCCTGAGGTTTCCCTAAATACCTAGCAGAGGGCTGGACAGATTGATGGTCTGAGCTTAGGAGCCCAGCAATTCCCACACAGTCCCTGGAGCACTGCCATGAACAATCAACAAGCACTGAGCCAGAAGCAGCCCTCAGAACCGTTGCACATGGCCCCAAATTCAAACAGGAAATACTGAATTGGGCCCGGGATGCATGGAAAGGTTCAGTAAATAGGCAGTGTGGGGGAGGGCCAGGAAGGTGGTCCAATGGTGAGTGCCCATACATGAAGCCTCAAGTTCGACCTCTGGGGCCTAAGAGACAGACAGTACAGCAGGTTAGGGGGACTTGCCTTTGAATGTTGCCAATGTGGGTTCTATCCTGGGCATCCCCTGCGGTCCCCTGAGCACCACCAAGAGCAATCCCTAAGCACAGAGCCAGGACTATGCCCTGAGCACAGCTGGGTGTGGTGAAACAAAACAACAACAACAACAACAACACCTTGGGCCAAGAGTACAGTGGGAAAGACACTTGTCTTGAATGTGGCTGACCGGGTTCGATCTCCAGCAACCAATAGAGTCCCTCCACCCCCTCTCAGGAATGAGCCCTGAATGCAGAGCCATGAGTCAGCCCTGAGCACCCCAGGACCTTCCACAGTCGTTTCTGTCTCCCTCAGAGCTGCCCAGTGACTGCCTGTGAGTGGGGCTGTGGGCAGGGGACGCCACGTTGTGTCAGAGATGAGCGCAGGGATCATCCTCTTGATTTAGAGATATCTGTGTCCGATATGCTGCCCGAGCCCATGTGCTGCATGTGTGGCCGTGCCAAGCATCTGTGTTGCCCGCATCTCCCCTCGTGAGCTGTGCACTCTCAGCGTCCATGTCCAATGCTGGGTGTGTGTAGGGACTCTCTCCCCTTGGGAGAAGCCCATGTTTCCTCTTGAACGTGTTTCTCTCTCTCTCACTTTCCCTCTCTTCTCCCCTTCCAAAAACTTCCAGTGAAATCTGTTTTACTTCCCTGCTTGTCTACACCTGAAATTCTTTTCTGCGAGGTGAAACAAGAACCCAGTAGCCCTGGGTAAGGCCTGGGACTGACTCTCCTTTCCTGCAAAGAGCAAATTCTCGTCCCAACATGAGTTTGTGGCTCCCTGAGAAATCAGGTGGTGGGGATCAACTCCCACGCCAAGAAGGCCAAATGGGCATCAGGGGTGGGTTGGCCGGACTCTGGCCCATGCCAAGCAGGGGCTCATCACAGACTTTATTAGTCCTAGTTTTTTCCAGCTGGGTCTCGGGGTGACAGAGGCGGATCGGGAGAAAGTGGCCGTCTCTCTCCTCCCCGCCTCCCATAAGCACCCGTGGGGGCCCACCAACATCACCCCCACTCCATGCAGTGCTTTGCTCGCAGGGACCAGCAGCGCAAGACACAGAGCCCACCGGCTGACACCGTCATGGACTTCTGTGTTCATGGAGGCCCAGAGCAGGTGTCTGGAAGTGCCCAGAGGGTGCCAACCTCCTGCTGATTTCTGCCGCCCCCCCCCCACCCACCCTAGCAGCCACCCCAGCCCTGGCCACACCCCAGCACCTTGTCCTTGACATTGTGGTCGCAGCCCAGGTCCACGAGGAAATTCAATGCCTGCAGGTGGCCAGCTTCCGCCGCCAGCTGGAACGGGGTCCTGCCGAGCTGGGGACAGACAGAAGCCTCCCGCCTCTGCTCCCCAACACCTCTGGGCCCTGCTCCTGCCCCTGCCCCCACCCCCACCCTGGAGAGTCCAGAGCAGAACCACAGTGGGGTTCTCTGACCCCCAAGCCCCCCTGAAGCTCCTGAGGTGAGGCTACTCCAGGGGCTCCAGCCCCCCTAGGCTGTGCCCTCCATCAGCTACTCCCCTGTTCCCCAACCGCACCCCCAAATAGTCTCCATTCACAGATGCTCCCTGCAGGAGTTCCCCCTCACAGAGCCTCAGAGCCCTGCTCCCTCCCGCGGGCCCCTCACCTTGTCAGTGGCGTCCAGGGGCAGCCCCCCCAGGTCCTCCATGAGGAAGGTCAGCACCGGCAGGTTGCCCTTCTGCGCGGCACAGTGCAGCAGGCCCAGGCCGTCCTACGGCAGAGCCAGACAGTCTCGGCTGAGTGCCGACTGCATCCCAGGTCCTCAACAGCGAGCGTGGGGCACCCAGGACACAGGCTCCCCATCCCCTCAACTCTCTTCAGCCCCAAGCCTGTAGCTCCTGAGCTCTGTTTCCTGATGGGTCAGGTTGGAATAAGGATCCCGCCTGCCTGGGAGCTGGCTGGAAGGAATAAGCGGCATCCCTGATGGGAAGAGTCTCTGATAACTGGCAGTGTTTGGGGAGGGAGGTGAGGCAGGAGAGCACTGACAGCCAAGAGCAGTTCCAAGGCATGGCTGCACCTGCTTGTCCGGGCCAACCACAGCAGGGGAAGCAGTGCTGTGCTCAGCGTCTGTCACTGGAGGTGACAATGCTGTAGGCAGAGAGACAGGGAAACGGACCGGGGCAATGAAATTTCTGGGAAATAAAGCCCCCTGGGTTTACAGTGAAATAAAGTCCTAAGTCTAACCCTCTTTGTGGATACAGAAAGCAAGACCTGCTAAGACCTTCTTCAGACACACAAATGGATTTCAGAACCAAGCAGCTTGCTGCAGAGATGCCTCCAGACCTCGCAATAGGCCACTTTTGCCGGGCCACTCCAGATGGGATCAGGTGCTGTCCCTCTGCCTGCCCCCCTAGGAATCCCAGTGGCCACCATCTTCCAGAACTCAACGAAAAGTCCAGGTATGCAGGAGCAGTAGCGGCAAACGCCAAGCCTCACGGGACAGGGGAGGAGCTGGTCCCTCTCCTTTCCCCCACCACTCCCGCCCCAATGGGACTCTGAGATGATGCCCATGAACTGTCTCTGGCTACTTCTTAAGCTCCTAAACTGCCATGATCCAGAGACACACAAACGAAACTTGCTGCAGAGATCTCTCCAGATCTTAACTATTAAAATTTTAGAATTTCCGGAGTGCGCGGCCACAAAGGTCTTAGCAGGTCTTGCTCATATGCTATTCACAACAAGCAATACAAAATAAATTGTCTAGCATTGCCTTTTCGGCAGGTTTGAGTGGTGGCAGGAAAATTCCAAATAATGGTGGGACTAGTGTTAAAATATTGAATGTAATCAAAGTAAAGAGAGAATATTGTGGAAACTGTCTACCACACAGTCAGGAGAAGGGTTGTAATGGGGGCAGAGGGATACTGAGGACTTTGGTGGTAGAAAATGTGCACTGGTGAAGGGATGGGTGTTTGATCATTCATTGTATGACCAAAACTCAAATATGAAAGCTTTGTAATCTCACGGTGATTCAATAAAAAAAATAAATAAAATAAAAAAGATCATGCCCGTGAGTAGGCTATAAAAGAATAGAGTGGCTCTGCCCCTCCTGACTGTCATCTATGCTGCCCACCTACCAAATCCAAATAAACACGGAAGCTGTGTGCATTCCAGGGCCAGGGGTTGGAGCTCTCTGACTGAAGCCCCAGTTTGACCCCTGACAGCACAAGGTACCCTGAGCACTTTCAGGGGTCACCTCCTAGGAGCCTTCAACAACTCAGATATGACCCCCAACCAAAACAAAGACCAATGGGGCCAGAGCGATAGTTTAGCAGGTAGGGCATTTGCCTTGCACATGGCTGATGGGGTTTGGTTCTCAGCACCCCATATGTTCCCCCACACCCCCATAGGGTGATCCTTCAGAACAGAGCCAGGAGTAAGCCCTGAGAACTGCTGGGTGTGGCCCATAAAACAAAACAAACAACAACAACAACAACCAAAAAACCCACTATTTTCAAATACATCCAAGGACCGGAGAGATAGAGTATAGCAGGTGGGACATTAGCTTTGCATGAGGCCAACCCGGATTCGATCCCCCAGCATCCCATATGGTCCCCCAGCATCACAGGATTAGTTCCTGGGTGTAGAGCCAGGAGTAATCCTTGAATATGGCCCCAAGTGACCCCCAAACCTAAATAAATAAACAATTAAGCCTACCCAAATATATGGGAGACTAAAAACTGATCAATTAAACAGCATGTTTAGGAACTAATTTGGACACCCAAATAAGATGTTTTTCAGGTGGGGGGAGAAAAGCATATGAAATGATCTCTGACATTAACCTCTATTGAAAAGCAAAATAAAACCAGGAAGAGATTCTAAAACTGGAAATGCCAAAGGCCAAGCCTGATCCACACCAGGTAACCCAGCGACAGTGTCACAGGTTAGGGCTCATCCCTGGCACAGGAATCCTGGGAGAAAGGTGTCATTTGTTATGCTAACGAGGTGACTTGGACACCCCCAGGTAGCTCTAGGAGAGAGGCTGGTTGCTATGGAAACCAGCTGTGGATTCAATTGGCGTTTACAGCATCACCCACTTAACCACCCACGCAGGGGAGGAAGAGATGGAGGTTGAATCAGTCACCAAAGGCCCAGGATTTCATCAAACCGGTCATAGAATCTTCCATTTTAAAAAGTGGAGAGGGCAGGGAATAGTACAGCGGGCAGAGGGCTTGCTTTGCATGTGGCCAACCTGGGTTTAATCCCCAGCATCCCATAGGTCTCCTGAGCCTCACCAGGAGAAATTCCGGCAGGAAGAGCCAGGAGTAAGCCCTGAGCATCGCTGGGTGTGGACCAAAAACCAGAAGCAAAACAACAAAATGAGCCTGGGGGACTTACCTTGTTCTCACAGTGGATGTTGGCTCCAGAACTGACCAGGATCTGCAGGATATGCAAGTGGCCATAGCAGGCAGCCAAAAGCAACGCATTCATTCCGAACTGGGGAGAGGACACGGGTGAGGGGGGTGAGAGTGAGGCATATAGAATCCTAGAGCATAGGAGCATCAGGACCCCCATTCTAGGGAGCTCGGTTTTAGGTATTTAAATCCACACACAAATTATACAATGCCAATTTTGTTCTTGCTTTTTGTTACATGATCATTAAAGATGAATCAGTTGCCACTATATTCAGCATTATTTCAGAAACATCTGAATTACTTCTGGTGGTGCTTAGGGGATATGTGGGGTCCTGAGGATTGAACCCGGGTCAGCCAAGTGCCCGAGGTGAGCGCCCTCTCCATTGTACTCCTGCTCCTTCCCGGCAGCACATCTGGATATGACCCTGTCACTGTCACTGTCCTCCCGTTGTTCATCGATTTGCTCGAGCAGGCCCAGTAACGTCTCCATTGGAGACTTTGTTGTTACTGTGTTTGGCATATCGAGTATGTCACGGGTAGCTTGCCAGGCTCTCCGAGATATGACCCTACAGAAAAACAAATCACTGTCACTGTTGTTGTCACTGTCCTCCCATTGTTCATCAATTTGCTCGAGCGGGCCCAGTAACGTCTCCATCATGAGACTTTGTTGTTACTGTGTTTGGCATATCATCACAGGTAGCTTGCCAGGCTTTGCCATGCAGGCGAGATACTCTCAGTAGCTTGCCAGGTTCTCTGAGAGGGGCGGAGGAATCGAACTCGGGTCGGCCATGTTGGCTGCGTGTGTGCGAGGCAAACGCCGTATCCACTGTGCTATTGCTCCAGCCCCTCACCCTGGAGTTTTAAGAAAATAACCACTCAGCATTCATGGAAGGTCCCAGAGCTGGGAGAGCTGGAGCTGGCTGCCCTGGCAGCTGCCTGAAGTACCCTGGCATGGAGTTCACGGCCCCCGGGTTCACCAAGACTCTTCTGAGAGAAACCACGAAAAGAAACCTCCAGAGTTCCCCTTCAGGACCGAAACGTGTTGGGGTAAAAGTGGTTTGGGTAAAAGATAAAACCCAGTCCAGGAAACAGTTCAACAGGTGGTGCACTTGTCTCAGACACAACTCGCCCAGGTTTGATCCCCAGCACCCTGTAGGGTTACCCAAGCCACGCTGGGACTGATCCCCGAGTGCAGACCCAGGAGTCAGCTCTGAGCACTGCCAGGTATGCCCTCCCCCCAACCCCCCAAAAAAAAGTAAGACAAGAAAAAATGTGGGGCTAGAGCAATAGCACAGCAGGTAGGACGTTTGCCTTGCATGCGGCCGACTGGGGTTCGATTCCCAGCATCCCATATAGTCCCCTGAGCACCGCCAGGGGTAATTCCTGAGTGCATGAGCCAGGAGCAACACCTGTGTATTGCTGGGTGTGCCCAAAAAAGCCAAAAAAAAAAAAAAAGTGTGCTCATAATCTGGAATCTTGGGGAAAGAGCGGGACCTGTCATGGCATCTCAGAGGCAGGTGCTGGCCTGGGCCACAGCAAAGCTGCAGGAGATGGACAGGCTCAGAACCCAGCCCAGAGAGAACCCAGCCTAGGAGGGGAGGAGAGAAGCTGAGCACAGGAAGCCCCACAGGGTGGGAGAGCAAAGGCGGAGGCTTTGGGTTGGAGGTGCCCCCGCCCCATGGCTATAGGTCATCCCCAAGCCTGCCTTTGTCTCCCAAGGCTGCAGAGTGCTGGCTGCAGAGGAAACAGGATTGGGGCTAGAGTGATAGCACAGTCGGTAGGGCATTTGCCTTGCACCCAGCCGATACGGGTTCTATTCCCAGCATCTTATATGATGGTGCCCTGAGCACCGCCAGGAGTAATTCCTGAGTGCAGAGCCAGGAATAACCCCTGAGCATCGCCGGATGTGACTCAAAAAGCCAAAAAAAAAAAAAAGGAGAAGAAGAAGAAGAAGAAGAAGAACAACAACAACAACAACAACAAAAGGATTTAGGAAGGGCCACACCTGCACCAGGCCCCACTACGCTGCTGGGAATGGGGGCCACTGGGGCCAGAATTGAACCCGGAACCGCCTGCCATATAAGTCACACCTTGGGGCCTCTAGATATTTTTCACTCAGTTCCTCTGGAAAAACACAAGGTGATTTTGGGGTCTTGGGGGTAAAAAACTGATGTAAGAGTTTCCAGTGTTTTATTGGGGTTTGTTTGGTTGGGGGCACTCCAAGCAGTGCTCAGGGCTTATTCATCGCTCCTGGCAAGGCCCAGGGGACCCAGAGTGGTGCCGGGGATCAAACCTAAGTTGGCAGGGTGCAAGGCAAGGCCTCCCCAGGTTGATCTCTCTGGTCCCATCCAGTGTTTAATTTTAAACCCAAAGGGTCCCAGACTCAGTATCCTCATGTTCACCTCTTGGCAGGGGCAGGAACATTCTTTCTCTTTGTTGCCCTTCGTGACGGTGCCAGGGAGAATGGAGTCAGGAGGTATCCCTGGCCCCTGGCACTGTGACCACCTTCTTCACCTGCTTCCCCACTTCTGCTAAGCAGCAACAACGCTGGTTCACGGTGCCAAGGATGGACAGACAGACAGAGACAGACAGAACGCCTCATGATGGTTCCTACCACATCTTCGTCGTCCACGGCTGCCGCTCGTTCCAGTAGCAGCTGCACCGCCTCCTCGTGTCCAGCGGCCACGGCCCAGTGCAGGGCTACCCTGCCCTCCTGCCAGAGGATGGACAACCATAAGACCGCAGGGCCCACTCACCCCTGCCCAGAACTAGCAGAGGAAATTTAGGAACCCTGGGGACGGTGGCAGGGCGTCCTCACTCCCTGTGACTGGCCTCCCTCATCTCTGTCCTGTGCCAGGGGGCCCCAGGATAACTCTCCCTTCCCCAAGGATGGAGGTGACTGACCCCCACCTCAGTGGCTGCCCACTCTGGTAGGTCTCATGCTCTCGACCCTCAGGACACCCCGGGGATGTTGGACTCTGACCCCCATGGTTTCTGGAAAAATCTCAAATGGGTTCTCTCTGTGGTCCTCTGGGAATCAACACTTTTTTCCATCCTTGGGTCCATAATGTACCCTCTGTCTGGGTCACCACCCCTTAGTCAAAATGCCACTTCCTTGGGGAGCCATCCCTGCTCCCTGCACCCCAACAGTCCCGCACACCTTCACCCGGCCCAGCAGGAATGAGCCGCCCTGCCGGTCTCCCGATGACTGTGAGCTGAGAGGATGGGGCCCACAGTGTGTGTGTGTGTGTGTGTGTGTGTGTGTGTGTGTGTGTGTGAGAGAGAGAGAGAGAGTATGTATGTATGTGCATGTGTGTGTATGTGTGTGCGCGTGTGTGTGGTGTGTGTGAGAGAGAGAGAGAGAGAAAGCGAGGGTGTGTGTGTGTGTACGTATATGTGATGTGTGGTGTGCGTGCATGTGTGTGTGTGCGTATGTGTGGTGTATGGTGTGTATGTGCGTGTGTGTGTGCGTGTGTGGCCTGTGTGTGTGATGGCGTGGTGTGTGTGTGACTGTGTGTGTGTGTGGTGTGGTGTGTGCGTATGTGGTGTGTGTGATGTGTGTGTGCGGTGTGGTGTGTGTGTATGCATGTGAGAGAGAGAGCGCTCTGAGAGTGAGAGTGTGAGAGTGAGTGTGATGGTGAGGGAGAGTGTGAGAGAGGCAGCAGGAGAGTGAGCGAGTGAGAGCGAGGGAAAAGTGAGGGAAAGAGAGAACTCCAGCATCGGGAGACATGTTAAAGGGCTAGTGCTCATGCTTTCCATGCGGGAGACTCGGGTCCAATCCCTGACACCCCAGAAAGTCTCCCCAGCCCCACCAGGAGTGATTTCTGGAGATTCAGCCTGACTCCCCCATCGCCCAGAGGGAGGGTGCTGTAGTTATGTCTCTGGCCTTGCTGCCACCCCAAGCTTCAGCATCTTCTCAAGAAACTCCTGCCAGCTGCTGCCCAGGCAGAAAGGAGCCACCTCAGGAGACATCAGGTCCCTCCTGGGTGTCCCCACCAGAAGGAAAGGCTTTTCTCTTCTCCCCCGCACGGACGGGGTTGCCACCTACAGGCTTCCCTGAGGCCTGACCAGTGGTTTGTCCCCCTAGCAGGCCGGGAGCTGCCCCCTAACTGTGCAATCTCTCTCAATGCTGGGATGAGCCTGAGTCTATCCTCCTGACAGCTCTGACCCCTCACCTCTGACCCCTGCCCTCTCAATTCCAGCCCAGGTTTCTTGGGCACATTTGGGGTGGGGACTGGGGTTACAGGTCTCTGGAGCTGCCCGAGTCCATAAGACACATGCCAAGTGTGGACCCCTGCAAGGTCCCTTCTGTGGGGCACCTCCACACTGCACTCCCCTCCCTGGTACCCCACTGGAGGAGCTAGTCACTCACGTGGTTTCTGGCCCTGACGTTCACTTTCCTGGCCACCAGCTCCTTCATCCTGCACACGTTGTTCTGCCTGGCAGCCTCATGCAGCTGCCTCTCCAGAGGGAGCACTGTGGGGAGAAATGTGACCAAAAGCCCTGCTCACATCATGAGGGGTAAAAGGGGTGGGAGTGATAGCACAATGGGGAGAGTGTTTGCCTTGCATGAAGCCAACCCGGATTCGATCCCCTGTATTCCACACGGTCCCCCAAGCCAGGAGTACTTCCTGAGTGCAAAGCCAGGAGTAACCTCTGAGCATCGCTGGATGTTGCCCCCAAACCAAAAATCAAACCAAAACAAAACAAAACAAAACTACTGATCCCGGCACTCCATATGATTTCCTCGAGCACCACCCAGGAGTAATTCCTGAGTGCAGAGCCAGGAGCAACCCCTGAACATCACTGGCTGTGCTCCCCCACTTCCAAAAAATGAGGAATAAGGAACTCCCCAGCCTGGAGCCTTCCTCAGGCCAGGGCCTCCCCTCCGGGAAGCAGCGAGAGGCTGCACCTCCTCCCTCCAGGAAAGAGTGATTTTCCCTAAGCTCATGATGTGTTCAAATGAGTAAGATCTGATAAACCCAAAAGATGGGTGGACACCAGCCAGACCTACCTGGGGAGCCAGGCAAGTCACCCCCTTCTTGGGACCCCAGGACTGCCCTTAGGGATTCACTTCCACTTTTCTCTCGTTTTTTCTTTTTTCTTCTTCTGGTTTTTGCATCAAACCCAGTGGTATTCAGGGCTTACTCCCAGCTCCGCACTCAGGAATCACGCCTAGCAGGGCTCTGGGAACCATGTGAGATGCTAGGGATTAAACCCAGGACAGCTGTATGCAAGGTAACTCCCCGCTGTGCTGTCGCTCCAGCCCCAGGAGCTTTGGTTTCATGTGCCTCTTCCCTCAGTTGCCAGTGTGGTGGTGTGTGCTGGGCCCTCACAACGCACCACTCACAGTGGTGCTCACTGTGAGTAGAACACTCTTAGGTGTGGGGTCAAGGGTCACAGCAGCAGAGCCAGGGTTACACTGCTGCTCATGCAGGGTGTGTCAGGGGTCTAACTCGCAGCCTCATGGCATACAGAGCAGGTCCTCTGTCACCGAACCATCCCGGTGCCCAAAGCAAATTATCTTGAGGCTAGAGAGATAGTCTGGGGCTAAGGTGCTTGCCTTGTACAGCCAACCGCAGTTCCTTCCATCCCTTTATTCCAGAGTCCCTGGAGCACAGAGCCAGAGTAATCCCTAAGCACAGCTGGGTGTGGTCTCAACTGTCCTCCGCCAAGAAAGAAAGAGAGAAAGAAAGAAAGAAAGAAAGGAAGGAAGGAAGAAAGAAAGAAAGAAAGAAAGAAAGAAAGAAAGAAAGATTCAGCCCCAGTTAAAACTCTTAGCTCTGGGGCCGGAGCGATAGCACAGCAGGTAGGGTGTTTGCCTTGCACGCAGCCGACCTGGGTTCAATCCCCGGCATCTCATATAGACCCCCAAGCACCGCCAGGAGTAATTCCTGAGTGCAGAGCCAGGAGTAATCCCTGAGCATCGCCAGATGTGACCCAGAAAGGAAAAAACAAAAAAGAAAGAAAGAAAAAAGAAAAAAAATTCTTATTTCTCCAAAAACTGAAACATATGCTCAAAAGCAGGAAAAAGGCTCCTGGAAGAGGCTTCATATGATACTCAGGGGACAAGGGAACACCAGCCCCACTGAGCCCCAAAGGTCTGCTCTCTCTCCAAGCTAACACACGCTACCTGAGAGCTACTTAGAACCCCAACTTCTCCAGGCACCACTATGACCCCCCACACCTTCCCTTCCTGAATCTTGTGTCTAGACCCTGGTAAGTAGTTTCTGAGAGGGGGGTGTTTTGAGGTGATCTTAGAGAAGAAGGCCTCCTGTCTCCCACTCAGGCCCCTCCTGGCAACAGAGTCTGGGGCTAGGTCCCGGATCTCACTGTAAAACTGAGCAGGGAGGGCTCAGTTTTGGTTCAAGTGGTGGGTCACAGGCCTGGCAGATCCTCAGAAACAGCACCGGGTCCCAGTACTGCCAGGTGGGCCCTGAGCACCCCCAGGAATAGCCCGGGGTTCCCCAACAATGTTTCTTTTCTTTTTTTTTTTTTTTGCTTTTTGGGTCACACCAGCGTTGCACAGGGGTTACTCCTGGCTCATGCACTTAATAATTACTCCTGGCCGTATTTGGGGGACCATATGCCATATGGGATGTTGGGAATCGAAGTCAAGTGCAAAGCAAACGCCGTATCTGCGAGCTATAGCTCCAGCCCCCCTCCCGCAACAATGTTTCTAAATGACCAGGAGAATCAAGTAGGCAGCCCAGATCCTGCCCAGCACTGACCCCTCAGTCTTCCCTGACCTAGAAGGGGCACAGCCAGAGTCCTAGTGGGGTGCAGGCCCAGACACCAGCGGTCTCAAGTGACCTGTCTCCCCTTCCTCAGCCCTGCATGGCTTTGTGGTCTCGGGGGTTCCTGGCCGGGATTCGTTTCCCTCATCCCTCTCCCCCAATCCGTTCATTCTCTGAAGGCAGCTCAGGGGCCAAAGGAGGCTGCAGGGCCCAGCACGGGCTCAGTCTCAGCACCCCAGAGTTACCGGAGCACCCCCACATGAGCCCTCGTGATATTCTTCCCCGGTTCAAAGGGGCTCTTAGGGACAGACGCGCAGGGACCCCGGAGCCGCGCGGTGCGACAACGGGCCCACCCTGCCCCCGGGCCCACCGGGTCTACCCCGCCCCCGGGCCCACCGCGTCCATCCTGTGCCCCGAGCCCCCTGCGTCCACCCTGTGCCCGGGCCCACCGGGTCCATCTCGCACCCCGGGCCCCCTGCGTCCACCCCGCCCCTTGGCCCACCGGGTTCACCCCGCGCCCTGGGCCCACCACGTCCATCCCGCCCCCGGGCCCACCGCGTCCACCCCGCCCCCGGGCCCACCGCGTCAACCCCGCGCCCCGGGCCCACCACGTCCATCCCGCGCCCAGGCCCACAGCGTTCATCCCGCCCCCACTGCATCCACCCCGCCCCCCGGGTCCATCCCGCGCCCCGGCCCACCGCGTCCACCCCGCCCCCGGGCCCACCGCGTCCATTCCGCGCCCCGGGCCCACCACGTCCACCCCGCGCCCCGACCCACCGCGTCCACCCCGCCCCCGGGCCCACCGCGTCCACCCGCGCCCGCCCTCACTCACGGCCGCTGGCGCCCGCGGTCCGCGACGTCTCCCCCATCCTCCCTGACGATTCGGGTCGCGGGTACCAGGGTCGCGGGTACCAGCGGCCGCAGCTCCAGGCTCGGCTCCCCGCGGGCGCCGCCTCCAGCCAGCCAGACCCACCGCACGTTCCTGCGCGCGAGCCCGACCCGCCCTCGGCCCCGCCTCTCCTCTCCGCCACCTCGGGTGACCTCTGAGCTCAGACGCTGGAGTCGCCCCTGAGCCCCCAACTAGATGCGGCCCCCAAACAAACAAGAAACTGAGTGTCAGTTTCTGTTTCTGTTGAAACGCTTCTGGGTGACCATAGATTAAGATTTACTGATAAATTGGACAAGGCAAAAAGAGTAGTTTGAAACAGGTCAATTTTTCTTTATTTTTTTTGATTAGTTGCATAAATAAAATATAAAATCTACTGTGAGGGGCAGGAGCGATAGTAGCGCGGGTAGGGTGTTTCCCTTGCTCAGGGAGACCCTGGTTGAACCCTGGCATCCCATATGGTCCCCTGGAGCCCTGCCAGGAGTAATTCCTACACATGGCCAATAAAACAACCCCAAAAAGACAACAATTACAAAGAGCCAATTGGATGCTGATTGTGAATGGGGGCGCTCTCAGCCAGAGCATGCTGTGATGAGCTTTCTGGAACACACCCTGGCAATAAGGGACCCTGCAGCTGGGACCCCGCCCTCAGTAACAGAGCCAAGTACCCTGCAGCCAGGACCTTCCTCAGGCTTGGGGCCATAGAGAGGATGCTTGACTGTGTGGCCCTGTGGTACCTGGGGGATTGAAGCAGCTTCAGTGTGGGACAGATAAAATGGGGTGCTGTGTCATGGGAAGAAAGGGACCGCGTGCATCCCTGAAGCAAGCGGGGCAGGGAGATGATAGAGCTGGTACTCTTGACACTTGCCTTGCCTGAAACACAGGTTTGACACCCTGCACCAACCGATGATTCCCTGAGCCCCACCAGGGGGTGTTCCTTGAGTACAGAACTAGAGCGAGGTTTGGAGTGTGGTCCAAAAACGAACAACAGAGGGGCTGGAGGCATAGTACAGTGGGAGGGCACTTGCCTTGCATACTGCCAACCTTTGATTCCTAGCATCCTTATGGTCCCCTGAGCCCGACCAGGAACAATTCCTGAGTTCAGATCCAGGAATAACCTCGGAGAACAGCCAGGTTCACCCAAAACCAAACAAAAAATCAAACAAACAAACAAAAAAATCTAAAAATATGGGGATTGGAGGGGGATGACGAGCATTGATTTAGCACCCAGGCCTGAAAGAGAAGCATGAAACCCAATCAGATCACAAGATCAGATCTGTAAACTGATCTCTCTCTCTCTCTCTCTCTCTCTCTCACACACACACACACACACACACACACACACACACAAGTGCTCACGTGTATGAACACCATAACTGGTTTGCACAAGCATCATGACTAAATGAGGGCAATTCCTCACCCATTTCTTTCTATTTTTTTTGTTTTGTTTTGTTTTGTTTTTTGGGCCACACCTGATAGTGCTCAGGGGTTACTCCTGGCTATGCTCAGGGGACCATGCAGGATGTTGGGGAATCAAAGCCTGGTCGGCCACGTGCAAGGCAAGTTCCTTACTCATTGTACTGTCACTCAGGCCTCCCTCCCCATTTCTAAGATCTATAGCGGGGAGAGAACCACAAGCAACAGATGCCCAAACATCTGCAGAGACACCTTAAACCTGGGAAAGCGGGTGGAGCCTCAGATCTTTGGATGCCATCAGCCTTGTCTCTCCTTGACGTCAGGCATAACTTGACAGCATTCCTTTAACCATGGCCTGTCGGAAGGATTTCCCAGGAGGGCACAGTAGTTCAGGCTACTGGTGGCCTGAACTAGCTCTAGCCAGCGGGGGGCCTCAGTCTTCTCCTCTGTGAGATGGCGCCATCAGAGGTGGGCTATCTGGGTTTGGTGGTTTTGCTGCAGGTGGGAGACACTGACCCCCCCACCAGCAGTGGAGTAGGATTCCCCAGGGGGGTTATGTCAAATAGGGAGAAGAGATGGGGCTGGAGCAATAGCACAGCGGTAGGGCGTTTGCCTTGTATGCGGCCGACCTGGGTTCGATTCCCAGCATCCCATATGGTCCCCCGAGCACTGCCAGGAGTAATTCCTGAGAGCAGAGCCAGAAGTAACCCCAAGCATTGCTGGGTGTGACCCAAAAAGCAGAAAGGAGACGAAGAAGAAGAAGAAGAAGAAGAAGAAGAAGAAGAAGAAGAAGAAGAAGAAGAAGAAGAAGAAGAAGAGGAGGAGGAGGAGGAGGAAGAGGAAAAGGAAGAGGAAGAGGAAGAGGAAGAGGAAGAGGAAGAGGAAGAGAGGTGGCAGACTTCAGAAGGAAATCTGCTTCCCTCTCTCCCTACCTTGATTACCCCAGGGAAGTGGCTGGGGAATCTAGAACTGATGAGCATCTGTGATGAGCCCCCGCAAGGTACCGACTTCATGTCTCACCAGCCTCATGACCAGTCTTTCAGCTGCACCTAGGGTCCACTGGTTCTGCACAGCATGGGAAATGATCCTCCCACTAGATTTCTCAGGGGCCCATGGACTCAGGTTGTCACAGGGAAATTTCTCTTTGCAGGAAAGGAAAGGCAAGGCTTTTTGGATCCATCTCCTTTCCCTCACAGAAAAGAATTTCCGTATAAAAAATTTACCCAGGACATAAAAGGAGGGAAGGAGAGAGGTTGATGAAGTTATGTGATTAATCAAGAAAGTAATCAAGAGAGACAAGGACTTCTCCAAAGTGGAAGAAGCAAATACACATCCCAAGCAGAGAAATGCACCCTAAAGTCAGCACAGCCCAAGCAGGGAAATGCACCCTAAAGAAATGCACTCAGGCAGATGCAGGCAAGGCAAAGGCTAAATGCACATCTCAAGAGGAGATGCTAGCATGTGAGTGCCTTGTCCTCAGCCTCAACCACATTAATTTATATGCAGTTTCCTTTAAATGTCTTACCCATATTCCATTGCTAGGCTGGTTGCCAAGGGGAAGTGGTTGATGGATTTCCTTTGATATTCTCCTGGCTTCCGGTCCAGCCTCTCTCCCTGGGGGTCTCGCCACATCTCCAATCCTGGAATTCCATCACCACCACCACCATCTTTCTTCCTGTAACAGCTCTGTGCTCCTGGCTGAGGTTGCAATTTTCTCTCCAGCCTCCCCGTCTTGCACATCAGGATTGGGGCTCCTGCTTACCACCTTCCTTGCTGATGGGTGGATTTGTCAAAAAGGCAAAGATACAGTGACCAGAATACAAAGACAATCTACAGAATGGGAAAGGATAGTCACCCAATACCCATCTGATAAGGGGTTGATATCAAGGATATACAAAGCACTGGTTGAACTCCATAAGAAGAAAACATCCAACCCCATCTAAAAATGGAGTGATGAAATGAATAGAAACTTTCTCAAAGAAGAAGTCCAAATGGCTAAAAAGCACTGAGAAAATGCTCTACATCACTAATCATTGGGGAGCTGCAGATCAAAACAACAATGAAACATCATCTCACACCACAGAGACTGGCCCACATCCAAAAGAACAAAAGCAACCGGTGCTGGCGCGGATGTGGCGAGAAAGGGACTCTCCTTCACTGTTGGTGGGAATGCTGACTGGTTCAGCCCTTTTGGAAAACAGTATGGGCGATACTCAAAAAATTAGAAATTGAGCTCCCATTTGACACAGCAATACCACTTCTGGGAATATATCCTGGAGAGGCAAAAAAAAAGTATAGTCAAAATGACATCTGCACTTCGATGTTCATTGCTGCACTGTTCACAATAGCCAAAATCTGGAAAAAACCTGAGTGCCCGAGAACAGATGACTGGTTAAAGAAACTTTGGTACATCTATACAATGGAGTACTATGCAGCTGTTAGAAAAGATGAAGTCATGAAATTTACATAAAGTGGTACTACATGGAAAGTATCATGCTAAGTGAAATGAGTCAGAAAGAGAGGGACAGACATAGAAATATTGCGTTCATCTGGGGAATAAAAAGTAGCAAAGTAGGAGACTAACATCCAAGAATAGTCGAGATAAGTACCAGGAGGTTCACTCCATGGCTTGAAGGCCAGCTGCACCTGCTAGGGGGAAAGGTAGCTCAGATAGAGAAGGGAACACCAAGTAAAGGGTGTTGTGAGGATCCTCCCAGGATGGGAGATGCATGCTGAAAGTAGACTATAGACCGAACATGATTGCCAGTCAATGCCTCTTTTGCAAACCTCAGCACCCAAAAGGAGAGAGAGAACAAAAGGGAATGCCCTGCCACAGAGGCGGCATGGTATGGGGGCAGGGGGGTTGGGGAGGGGGAGGGATACTGGGATCATTGATGCATTGGTAGAGAAGAATGGGCACTGGTGGATGGATGGGTACTCGATCATTGTATAACTGAAACCCAAGCACAAAAACTTGTAATGTCCACAACTGCACCTCATGGTGTTACACTAATAAAAATTAAAAAAAGAAAAGAGGGGCGGGAGCAATAGCACAGCAGGGAGGGTGTTTGACTTGCACGTGGTTGACCCGGGTTCGATTCCCAGCATTCCATGTGGTCCCCTGAGCACCGCCAGGAGTAATTCCTGAGTGCATGAGCCAGCAGTGGCCCTTGTGCATCCCTGGGTGTGACTCAAAAACAAACAAAAATAAATAAAGAAAAAAAGAAAAGAAAAGGCAGGCCACTTCTCACCTCTCAAGCCAGTCCTTTTCTTCCATCTCTCTGAGCTGCTGCTGGGGGTTGAACACCAGCTGTGAGGTTTCTCTCCCAGCCTCCTTCCCTCTGGGTACATCTTCCTTTCAAGGGAGAAAATGGGTGCACAGCCTGAGAGGTCCCAAGCTGAGTACCCACCTGCATCCCAGTGTGTCCATCCTTGAAAGAGAAAGCCTCAGTTTCCCCATGCCAGCTGCTGCCAGTGGCTCCATTTTGGCCATCTCTGTTTAAAAGGTTCCTGAAAGTTCCTGGGCTTTCTCTGAGAACCACACATTAATAATTTCCCAATATCCTA